ATTCCATGGTAAGGCTCTGCAAGCGGCCAGGACGTCAGGCAAATGACCAGGTGGACTGGCGCACGCAGCGCACAGCAAAAAGGTGGGATTTATCCAGGGGAAAGCAGGATTTAACATTACAATGTGGTGCCCCAGAGCTTAGATAGCTAAGTTGAGATATAAGTAGCTTAACTATGGTTTATCATACTTATAATTATAGTAAATGGGGTTTATAAACCAACTTATAACGTTTAGGGGCCCCACATTGTATTTAACCAGCGAAAATGTGGCTTTAACTGTGAACATGGGTATGAAATTTGATTCAATTCCGCCAAAAATTGGGATTTTCAATGGGTATTAAACCCACAAACACTGGGATTTAGCTGTTTTAAATGCTAAACATGCTGACATTAAATTGGAACATGTCACCAACAATTTGGGATGTGGGACTTACTAGGTAGTTTGTGGCGATTTCCCATCTGGTTATTCCACATAGCTATGGAAATAACCCATTTTAGCTCGATGACAAGACTGATCATTGCCTATTAAACATGGTGATTTCCCAGTTCGCTTCGTTCAATAACCAAAGGTGTATAATAACCAAAGGTGTATAATGTAAATTATTTTGCATGTAATATTTACACTTCACATCATATAGTATGTTCGTTCAATACCATATATACATGTATATCGATATCCCTCAATATTTGGTAGATATGTGTTTGTCCAAACATAATGCAAAAACCACCTGAATAGCCATTACCCTCTGGTAAACATTTACATAACTATGGAAAATCACCATTTTCAATGGAAAAATCAACTATAAATTGCCATTTTCAATAGCTGATTGTATGTTTATCAGAGGGTATGTTTCGGAAAACCATGATGAACCTCTCGAAATCCCACATGGCAATGGAACATCCACCACTTGTAGCGATTTCTCATCGCCATGGCAATGATGACCGGGTGATGACCGGAGGGTACCCCATGTTCAGAGAAACCCGTATCAGTGAGCAATGAGCAGTACCCACATCCTATCTCATGTTACTACTGGTTGGCTGATAAGGAATTCCCATCATTCTTTTTTCACCCAAATAAAACAGCTAGTGTAATCCCCCTGTACCAACCAATCAACAATGGCACAATGTGGGGCCCCCCAGTTATAAGTTGGTTTATAAGCCCCATTAAGTACACTTATAAGTTATAAGTATCGTAAACCCAAACGTTCTTGAAGTTATGTTCACCAACTTAGCTATCCTTCGGGGGCCTCACATTGTTTTTTTTCATTCATACACCCATTCATATTCCATTCATAAACCCATTCATGTTCCATCCGTATGTTCCTTGATTATACCCATTCATATTTTCTAAGCATGTTATAACCCCAGTTACAAGTGGATTATATCCATTATTAACCATTATTAATCATGATAAACCATTATTAACCATCATTAACCATGACAGCAGCACCAGGCGGCACCTCCGTTGAATGAAACTCTGGATGGAGGTACTCCAGGCTTCGTCAAAGACCTCCGACCTGCTTCGTTGATCTTCAGGCCCGAGTCATACCAGTTATAAGTACTGAAATAACCCCATAAAAATGGAATGCATAACTGTATAACCCTATTTATAGCCAGTTATAGCTAATAAATGGCCATAACTGTGGTAATTTCTGACGTGGCGAACTGGAAAACCACGAATTGTTAGTAAGTAATTCATCGAACTAACTGGTTCATGTTCGATAGCGATGTTAGTTTACCAGAGGGAACTTGATCTCTAAGAATGTTCATTGTCTACATATAGGAGTTTTGAGGGATGGTACAATGGTAGCTCATGAATCACTGATCATGATGGAAACCATGGATCATATGGGAAGCCACAAGAGGATGCAGAAAAGGTTGACTGCACCATAGGTTTAATAGGATTCTGTAAAATGTTGATCTTTTGTGGGTTTGCTATAAAATCCCCTTGGGAGAAATGGATCCTACCAGAAGATACAATGTATATCCGCTACCATCCTTTGATTTTTGGTGTGTATGTAAACATATATATATATATATTAGCAGTAGGATATCTATATATATAAAGTAGAATCTCTATATATATATTATAAACCTATCTTGTTCGGGGTAAATGTACAGTACAGTGGGTGAATGTATCACATATGCGTGATGTTGGTGTTCTCAGTGGACATGGATCAAAACACAAGTACCTGTACTTTGTTGAAACCCTCAATAGCTGGGATTTATAGATGCTCACCTCCAACTTTTTGTAGAAAATTATGTGTTGAAATGTGTTGATGAGTGGTTACAAAAAGGCGCACCCAAACGATAGGAAAGGTGGTCAACATAGCCAGGCCAACAGTCGGATCTATGGTGGACCTACAGCTGGAATCAGTCGGATACGTTTATAAAACAATGTACACCTCCAGGGGTTCCATCATCAAGACAGATTTCCCCCCAAAAAAGTAGCTGGGACCCGAAAAAATTGGTCGTTTCACCAGCTGCGCCTCTCCGACTTTCCCGACTTCATGGCACAACGGCAGGAATGGCGGGAGGGATGTACCAACTATAGTGGGGATGTAGTGCGGAACAATGGGATATGCAGAAGCGCCAATATGACGTTAATATGTTGGGTGTGTCTGAAAAAGGAACACTCGGATGCCACAGTAAATGGTCAAATAACAGGGACGGTCAATGAATATGATTATAAATCAGTGGATTGAGGGGTACCCTATATTTGAAACAAACTCCTTTCATCAGAACAAATCACAATATTGAACTGTTGGCCTTGCCTAGTTTCTGCAGTATGTTGGCAGTTGTGTTGCATCGATGCGATGTCAGAATAATGCAAAGGGACGAACCAAAAAATCTTGCAGAGTGCAATGCTGTGCACATGACATTCTGTCATTCTGTCAGCTCACTGAGAGATCACCATATCACCATATCCGTACTCTTAAAGGAGGTCAATACCATAAACACTGAAAGGAAAGCAACGAATACTCAAGGATATACAATGATATATGTATATCATGTTCAAACACCAAGGTGTCATTCAGTGATGGTTTCGGTAGAAGCAAAACTAGAAAGCGGACAAAAGCAACTACCCTCTGGATATGACTAACATAGCCATGGAAAGTGGCCCATTTATAGATGATTTACCTATTGAAAATGGTGATTTTCCATGGCTATGTTAGATAACCAGATGGTAGATGTATCCACAGAATGATGAGTTGAACCCGATCAATGACAGCATGATGATCATGATGTGTTCCAATCTATGTGATCATGATTCATGGTGATAATATATATATAGTATATGATATTTATAGTGTATATATATATATATTAAAATATATCATGCGGCAAAATCAACCATAGGTTACTGGAAATAGCTTTAACCTCCCCAAAGTACACTGTTTCCTCTTTAAGGAGCCTTGTCCGGATGTTTTTGTTTAGAACAGGTGGTTTAAGAAACGGCTGAGGCAACGAATGGGTGCCTGCTTTAACCCGGCACAATGATGCAACATGTCGGTTTAAATCGGTTTAACATGGTTTAACCGAGAGAGGTAGTGATTTCAGAAACGGGGAACGGACCACCAATGAAAAACACACATGCCATCTTACCCCCTGGTAAACTAACGTAGACGTAGCTATGGAAAATCACCATGTTTGATAGGTAAATCAACGAACTCACTGGGCCATTTTCGCAAACTGTTAGTCATTGCCAGAGGGTAATGGATGAAGATCATCCGTGAAACATGTTTTCCTTGCGCTGTTTTTCAGCTTGGTCATGCCATGCTCCATGAAGCCTGATTTGGGCGATCCGGCGTCAACAGGGCTGGAAAATCCACCGAAAAATGATGGGATTAACTGGATCTACTGTACATCCAACTCAGTTGGGAGAACAAACACAAAGGATTGGATTGTTGTTATTAACAATAGGATAACAAATAACAGACTATACTAACCAATAGGATTAGATTCTTCATGTAAGTGGGTTGAAAGCCATGGTTAGGAACCAATTCCCAACGTGCTGCACATCCAGGTCTGACACGCAACTGTGTATCATCACTACCGAGGACATTGCTGGTCTCAACAAAGAAATGCTCTGCAGTTATGGCCCAAAATACCAGTTATAAGTGCTTATATAACCCCATAAACAAATGGTTTATGAATTTATGTATAGTCCCATTGAAATAACCAGTTAGTTCACCATCATTAATTCACATGTTTAGGCACTATGAAAACCATGATTAACCACTATAGAAACCACCATTAATCACCATAGAAATCACTATAGAAATCACCATTTCTAAATGGTTTCTACGGCCAAATTCCCCTGGGTCAAAATATGAGATCCACTCAGAAATTTCCTCAGATTTTGTTGCACAAAAAACGGCCGACGGTCAACGTGAAGAAAATCCATGTACTTCGTGGTCCATTGAAAAAAAGACACGTGGTTGGTAAACTCAATTCATAGCTCCAACTGGCTCACCCTTTTGAGAAGGAATATGGAGAATATGAATACATAATGATACACATATCTCCTGGTCTCTCTCCAAAACACCGGAGAATATAAATACATAATGAGTCACCAACATGCAAGTCATCTGATTTTTCTCCCTCCATATACAGCTACATAAGTTGATACATCCACAGACCTACCAACAAAAATCAGCCAAACGACATCGACCAAGTTGCAGCGGCCGCGTCTTTTTAACCCACAACACGGGCACCCACAGGAGGTGTAACGGCTGGTTGGACCGCAGCTGGTTTGGGTGCTTCTCACCCAACTGTCGCCGTTTGGAGAAGGCGAAGCATAAAGGAATGGGTCCCGAGGAGCTCTATCTTGATGAACTTATATAGATTTAGCACCTACATAGTCATAGGGATCATAACGTATCATATAAAAAAAAGTCATATACTTCACTTGTCACGAAGACATGGAACCTATTAGATATATCAATCATTATATACATCATATATATATATATATTTAATTATATTTATACATGATATATCCATTTCAATCTCCATTTTCAAATCATCTAAGGTGACCCCTGACCGGGCCACCTCGGTGGCCCGGTCACTCCGAGGTGAACTCGTCGGCGTCGTCATCGTCGTCAGCGGCGATGCTTTGATGCAGGTGCACTGGGGGATGTTCTGCGCCTGCGACGATGGTGATTTAAAAAGAGCAGTGCAGTGCATGGCAATTTATTAGTTAACTGGTTGAAAATGGGATGATACATAGACCATAAATGGCTTATTTCAGTGCTTAGAATTTCAGAATTGGTATTTTGGGACATAACTGTGGTTGTATGAAAGCTTTTATGGCGTTTTAATGAGAGTTTATAATGGCTCTTTAATGGTGGTTGAATGGATAAACCTGGTTGGATCGAAGCCGAAAAAAACGTGGGGATTTGGTTGAGGATGATCAGCTATGAACTGGGAATCAGATTCGAAGATATGGGGATATAGTTAATGTAAATGTTCATAAACGATGCTTGATCATTATATTTCTGAACTATAATAACCAACATTAATTGTATATATATATATATATTTATGAATAACAACTATATCACCAGATAGTTAACGAATGATGCTTCATAAACAAAGTGTATTCAATATGAACACCAAGCCATTCATGGCCCGCATTCCCTGGATGGAGAAACTCACGGCAATAACCAGTTACGACTTGTTTGTAATGGCTTATCAATTGGTTAGATATGGCTTATACATGTGTTATTAATTGGTTATAGATGGGTTATAAATGGGTCATTAATTTGTTATAGATGGGTTAGAAATGGCTTGTTCCATTTACAAATTGATGAACTAACCCCAGTTGCCTCAACGACCATCCCAGTTCCATGATGGCCAAGACACTCAGTCGCTTCAGCAGCGTTTGAGGTTTTTCACCAAAGCGCCGTTGGATAGCTTGTTCCAGCAGAGGCACTTCAGAAGTTAACCTGCCATCGAACAAAAAACATGTTTTAAAATCATAAATGGATACAGAAAAGGTCCCATAAAATACCACGGTATAAGTCACTTATAACATCTTATAACCTCATTTATGGAATGTGTATAATTCCAAGAAAAGAAACTAATAACCATGTATAATTGGTAAAGGGCCAAATCATGGTGGATTCAAGCTATTGCAAAGCTGGGGGTGAAACATCAACCAGCTTCTTGCCGTTTAAATCTCGATGGAATGTCTGTGGCCAGCAATGTGGGATGGTGATGTCATAAAAAAATAGCCACATTTGGATGTTTCGTGGCGATGTCGTGGCATAGAACTGCAGAAAAAAACATTTAAACCTTCATAAGAATGGGTTCACTTATACAATGTGGCCCCCCCCAGTGATAAGTTGGTTTATAAGCCCCAGAAACTATAGTTATAAATGCCATAAACCATAGTGAAATTAGAGTTATTTGCACCAACCTAGCTATCCAACGGGGGCCTCACATTGTAACCCATGGGCTTCACCATAAAACTTTGGCTTTTTACCAACCCTCCAACTGCCAACCGTGCCAAGAAACAGATCATCAAAGGTGCTGGCCTTCGGGTCGTCATGACCAAAATGGTCTCCGTATTTGTGGCCGGACTGCCAGTCCACGCGATAGTGGTTCCCCACTCCTGGAGCCGTAGCGGTTCCCAAAACATCTGCTTCACCCGGCCTGGTACAGTAACACTTTGCGAACCGGAAAGATCAACCATCTTTAATAGGTAAATCAACGAACTAAATGGGCCATTTTAAATAGCGATGTTAAATTACCAGAGGGTAGTTCAGAATAGCAAATCCTATTAAAATATTAAAGTACTCCATTTTGGATTGATGAAAATGGAGCGATGTGGAGCGATGTGGCTTCCGATAAGGGTGATCTAATGGTGATTTAATGGTGATTTAATGGTGATCTACCTTGATATCATAGATGGATATAACACGATGGATGCCATCAATTTGCTACCCCAATAGCTGGATGGCTTATTGGATGGGAAATCGGACAAGAAAATATAAATAAATGACAACTGAAGGTACCCCCATGTACCCCACATGACATTGGACAACAAATGGCGTAGTTCACAGTTGCCTGTGCCGTAAAGGGATTCGGGACAAAAGGCTTAGAGATATCTTTCGACAATGATGTTCTCTTGACTTGGGCTTGCATCTTTCCCCATGCTAGCACAAAGTTGTGACCCTCCAGTTATGTCTGTTGGTGTGTAAACCTTGTATCTACAGATATATTTACCACCACAGAATTCACCTAGGCATAGAGCAACTTAGCTAACTATGGGGCAGCACCTTGCAGGAAATAACACGTCATGACATCTGCCTAGAATCCACCTGGCAGACTGAGGCCCGCCTTAGCCATAAACATATTGTGGTTCCATGTTGTGCTGTGAAATGGAAACATCATGCTCACAATATATGTATTGTGTATATATACATATATATACATATATATATATATATATGTACATATATATATATCTATATGTAATTATATATGTATATATATAGTATATGCACACTAATGTATGATATTATTTCAGAGATCATCCCAACAATATCCCATCTTAACATCTTATAGTGCACTATTTAGGGATAATATCCCAATAACAAAACATTGTCATCAATAGTATCCCAGCACTCTGTTTGCTTTATAGCGTCCAAGTACTATAGTAAGAACTTCATTATTGAGATAGCAGTATTGACACTACCAATAGTAGCACTATTTGGAGGTGTCCTAAAATGGGGATAGCCCAACATGGATGGTTGATAGTAAAAAATCCAATTAACTGATGAATTAAAACGGATGTTTTGGGGGTGCCCCCTATTTTAGGAAACCTCCATTTACTGAATTTTATTGGGTGACCACGTTGAACCGTCAGAGGATCAAAGATGACCCTCTGGTTTCATGACGTTCACAGTCTGCAAACTGGAAAATCACCACTCTTTCAAAGGTAATTCATAGATCCATTAACAGTTTGCGAACTGGTAAAATTATGAAACTATCTTATACTTCAATATACTTCAATAATATTCAATGGAAGTGTTAATCTTAATGGTAGCATCAAGAAGTACAATGTGCCGCCCAAAAACCATAGATATATATATATATAGGTTTCCTGAAATAAGGGTACCCCCAATTCATTCAAAATTAGGCCACTGTAGTATTGCAACACATGGTTTTGGGGTACCTCTATTGATGGGAACCTCCACATCTGTAAAAAAGAAATAAGCAGAGAGAGGAATCCCCGTCATCACCCCATGATGACTTCGAGCTACCCAAGGTTTCTGGCAGCATAATGTCTTCGGTCGCGTTTTCACAGGCGGTGGCAAAATGGAACCAGAGACTATGCCTGGGGCGAAAGTCATGTAACAAAGCTGATTTTGTGTATGCTCTATCAATAATGGGTGGTTTACTAAAGTGGTTTACCCAAAAAGAAACCATCGTGGACTTGCTGGTTGTTTTGGGGATATTTCCAAACAAAAAATCACCACGATGTTGCTGGTCCACAGGTACCCCAAATTACCTTTTACCCCACATGTTGGCTATATCACATTATATATGACTGGTTGGTTCCAACGTTTGCTGGTTACATTCCAGTGTTTGACCCATTATATGATTCAATTGTTTTTGTTGGTGATATAAGTTCCAATTTTGTTTAAATCCCATTATTGAAAACTGAACTTAAAATGGGATTAATAAGCAACATATATCACCAACACCCACGAATTGACGCTGCATCTTGATGCCCCTTTCTGAAGACTTTGATCCAGCGGGTTTTTTTAGAAACGGCTTCCATTCCCTAAGATTCTCACCATCCCCAAAAAATTAGCATCCGTGTAAGTCCCAACAGCCCAACAGATTCATGCCAGGCTATACCTGCCCCTTTCACTCCATGGCATACAACGTTTCCAACCGTTTCGAGACCTCGCTAGCTGCCGTCGGGTCACACGACATGCACGTTGCAGGCAAACTTTCCATTGGCCTCAGCTCAATGCAGCTAAGGGTTCGTACTATCACAAACCATCACTGTACAAGTCATCAGGGAATTAACAGTGCAAATGCTCAACTTAAGTAATCGTGTACCAGCCTATCCTATAAATCACATATAGTAATATACTCTGGTTGGTGGTATACCTAACCCTCTGAAAAATATCAGTTCGTCAGTTGGGATTATTATTGTTATTCCCAATATATGGAAAGGCATAATCCAGCCATGTTCCAGTCACCACCAAACCCATCAGTGAGTCGATTGGATCCATGTGGCCAGCTTCTCCGGATGATTATGGCTGCGCGGCAGCTTCGCCTCGCGCCAGGCCGAAGAAATCTCCAGCGAATCCGACGGAGCACGGGCGAAGCGGAAGCTGCGGAAACCTCAAGGTGGGCCAACGAAAGGGTCCAACGAAAGGTGGGTAAACCAACCACGGGTACTGTTAAGAAAAGGTGGATGTCTGTTGTGGTGATTCATATATCATGAGTATTTGGGTATTGAATGGGATTTATACCAACGAAAAAGTGTATATAAAATGGTATAAATAGTGGTGGATGTGAGGGGAGATTATTGGGAATTATTCTGAATTGTCTGATGTTCTTTGATGTTCTTTGGATGTATTTTGATCCATGGGGAGCAAATGAAGCGTTACATAAGTCCTTGGAAAGTTGAAAAAATCCTTCCCCCATGCCTACAATAAATACCCGCAAGATTCACAATCTTCAGAACGGGATTTGCACTGATTTGGGATCATTTGTCTTCCTATTTAGTATTGGGGTGATGAGATTTGTCATTGTGACATATTGTGACCATAATCGTCCATAATCAGTATCTAAACTTTACGTCAGGATATGAGGATTATATGAGGATTAAATGCCGATTGAATCAGATTCACCCGGTCAACTTCAGCAGCCACCATCGGGATGCAGTGAATTACAACCTCCCCAATTGGTTTACGTTTACAGTTCCATGTGAAGAACCCATCATTCGAATGTTGTTGTTTTTTCTGAACGGGAAACCATTCTCTATACAGGGTGGGGCCCCAGTTCGTTAGCAAAGTTGGTTTATAACTATAATAACAATAGTGTATGATACTTATGATTATATTTAGATGGGCTTATAAACCAACTTATAACTAGGGGGCCCCATCCTGTATTCTCTTTTCACATTTATGTAAACTTTTACCGTTACCCTATAGAGTACCAGTTGATGGTGCATTCAGCCAACTCTATTATCATTTGGGGCCTGTGGGTTACGCTGCTTCTGAAAATCTGGAGGTCATTAAGATATGCCGTGGGGATCTGCTGGGGATGAACCCACGGCCAAATAGAGGCTTCTCCGTCCCAGCGGCTGACGCTTCTGACTTCTTCGAGCCGTTTTCCTGACCAAACGGCAACAAAATACGGAGATTTCGATATATGCCATGAATTTGTAGATACCATCGACATGTTGCATACCCTCCTCATGGATCCTCATGGTGGTTTCAAAATGAAATTAGGCATGGCATTCTGTCTCAAGCAACATTTACTACAGAGATATGATGGGAAGAAATAGACACTGGTCTTGTAATTTTCATCATACAATCATTACAAAGTTGACTTCAAAGAGCCAACAAATTAGTGCCTATGAAGCAACAAGGATTAGGACCGCGACAAAGATAGGAGCTGCACCAATTGAGTTGGCCAAATTGGGGCACGTATCATGAAAATTTCACCAACCCCAATAGTACAGTAGATGGTCAATAAAATTAACATCATTGGGGGGTCACCAACCTGCTTACAAAAATAGTGCAAACATGGACGGGATCCAGCAACATGATACAAGTATTCAACCTTGGCACATCCGGGCACCATATCACTTGGATGCTCAAGGGGCTCCATATTCACATCGCCAAAAATTTCCGGACATTCCCCAAAATCCAGGTCGTCAGGACATCAGTGCCCGTCCTTTCCACTTGACGATGGCATCCCAAGCCGTCTTCAGGTAGTCTTGCGGCACCACACCGTCAGGAAAGAAGTGGCCAGACTTAAGATGAAAGTATTCATCGACATCAACCTGCAGAAAGTTCAGATTCAACGCGCCGCTTTACCAACCCTTAAAATGGTTATAAAGGGTAATTTTAAACCACAAAAATTGCGAGGAAAAAATTGTAGATCAGGCAATCATGTGAGTCCGTCAATACTCCAAGTTTTTGGCCCAAGTGAATTGTTATCAATGCCATGGTTTGGAAAACTTCTCCAACCATCCAAGCAAGATGGCTACCCTGCACTTGGGGGAAGACTGCGGGGCCCCTAAACGAATATAATATGGGGTCCCCAAACAATAGCAAAGTTGGTGAACATAACTCCAATATAATTATAGTATATAGCGTAGATGTAGCTATGTTTACTGGGGGATAACAAACCAACAAACACGGCGGGGGGTTCCCACCTTGTACGATCCTCAGGATCTACGTTAGTTGGATGGATGGTATTACTTGAAATTTGGATCTTACTTTGGTCTCCCAGTAGCGGTTTGGGCTCTCAAGGCCTGCTGGAAACAATAAACATGGTTAATTTGAATCCCAAGAATAAAAAAAACAATGTGGCCACCCCAGATATGTTTGTAACCCTCATGAATATCTATGAAAGCTATAGTTGAAAGTATCAAAAACTATAGTTAATTATCTAATCTTAAAAAAACAAAATATTAGTGTTGAATTCATGGGATTTCTATGGATTATCATGGGAATTCTATCGGATTTATATCATGACTCCCTTACAGTTGGTGCCCTTTAGTTATAAATGGGTATTTAGATGGGATTGTACCAGTTTTATGGGGTTATGAGTTATGATATATAGTATATAAAAAATGACAAACATAAGTGGTATTGGCCGAGCGGCAGAAGGCAACAGCCAAGTGGTATGACTTTTGGCGCGGTAGAGACAGTCCTTGCTGGATGACGTACGGCTGAGGGGTGCCAAACCCCCAGAGGTTACAAGTTCGAAATGGTTAAGGGTTAATCAAAATTATTAACCATAGGCAGCAAATAATTTTGGATATTGGTTAATAATATTGATTAATAATGGTTCGTAATGCTTGTTAGTGTCTATTACTGGTTGTACCTTGAAATTCACCCAGGGGTCGGACCCTGCTATTTGTAGCTATAAACGGCGGGGTCTTGCCAAAAACCTACAAAATGAATGGGTGCAAGTAAACATTTCTCCATACAACATGGTAGGGCTTTGTGCATCAACCAGCTCTTTGCAGCACTCCCACATTTTGTAGGGAAGTATATTTTGCGCGGATGTTTGATTTCTACTTTTTTCTCAATATGAGTCTTGCTTGCATGCTTGGACCCTGATCCCCAAAAAAGGCATCATTTTGTAAGAACCTGTTGCTCTGCCATTTCTTTGCGTTTTTCTGAGTTGTCTTTACGGAGCTACCAATCCTTTTTGTAAGGAACTGGGCTCAGCGAAATTTGTGGCCTGTCTTTTTACAACGTTGACAAAAAGTGAAGCGTTCATACCCCTTTTTCTTTTGCCCAAGATTTGTGTTGGCAAGCCGGGCCGAGATCTTAGTAGTTGCAACTCTGCTGCTGCTTACATTTGGCAAAATGTGCGGGTATGAACGCTTCACTTTTTGTCTACACTGTAAAAAAACAACAAATATCAGTGAGCCATAGTGAACCCATTTCCTTACAAAAAGGATGGGCTGCAGGCTGCGTGAAAAAACATGCTGGCATAGCAGCAGGTTGCTACAAAATGATTTTTTTTTTTGGGCCACAGGGTCCAGGCATGCAAGCAAGGCTCATATTCGGAATAAGAGAGAAATCAGGAATCTGGGCAACATATACCTCCCTTCAAAATGATATGTGCAGTTTGATTTTTTTCCCCCAAAACCCTGCCATTTTGTATAGATAATTGTTTACCCGCCCCTACTCATTCTGTAGGCTTTTGGCAAGTTTCTCAAGTTGATACCTATCCAAGAAGGGGGTCTGACCCCTTGGGGTGAATTTCAAGGCCTTTCAAGGGGGATACTAGTAAGATCATGTAAGATCTCAAAATCAACCGCCATGCCACTAGTCCGAATCAGCCTAGCTTTCCAACACAACTCTTGGGCAAAAAGATGCACGTTGCCTCACCCATCCTCATTCTTCACATTAGGATATTGAAACATGTTCCCATACAAAATGGCAGGGGCTAAGCTTCCACGTGTTCCTCCAACTGCTGTGCACCTGCTCACATGGACTTTCATGATTTATCATGCTGCCATGAAACCCCTTGCATTTTGTAGCCCAGCCATCTATTTCCCAAGTTTCACTTCCCGTTTTGGTCGACACAGCTTCCCGTACGCATCGCTGTATCGATCTTTGGTCCTACGCCATCCTACATTGTTGAGCCTGGGTATGGCAGGAAGCAAAGCCACTAAGTTTCAAGAGCAGGCCGCCACATATTCTTATGGCGCCTCGAAAACCGAACAAATTCCAAAATGGAACTGCCCATGGACCCAAGTGGAAATTGGGGAGAGCCGGAGGCGTGCTTTGAAGGCCTGAGTAAGCAAAATGCAGAATGTTCAAAAGAGACAACAACCAAAATCTATGTAGAATTGGTCGCGCAGCTCGATTTCCAAGAATAGCACCAATTTCCTACAAAATGACACTTGAAGTCAACAAAGGGATTCCTTACAAAATGAATGGCCCCAACCCAGCCAAGTTTTCAAATTGCATTTTGAGATTGCTAATATGATAATGATTTTATGTGTTAATCATCTATTTTATTGCTCTTACAATATTGCAAGGTGCAGGCAGGCTCCCTACAAAATGGCCTCCGAAATGGGCCTTGAAATTAGTAGATGCTACAAAATGGCTGGGCTCTTGAAAGTGATTTCCTACAAAATGACCCTGGAAATCGGGCTTATATGGGCCTGAAGGCCAGCCCTTTCATAGGTGAAATTTCAACGGGGATGTTTAACCCATAAGTTAGGATATGACAGCTATAACATATGATAATGATAGCATCCTAAAACTATGTTTTATACTATGTCCAATAGGTCATTGGAATTGTACTTCCAAGTAGATAAACAAAAAAAGGAGCTATGCTGAGATTCTCCGTAGTTGTGTTTGTTGGCTTACGTTACCCCACCAATAATAATATTACAGTAGCTACAGGTGTATCCACCATAAATCCTGCCACCGATTCCTGTACAATGGAAGCGCTCTATCACAAGCATGTACACCTTTCGACACACACACACACTTACTTACACCTACACTTACACTTGCACTTCATACCGTACAATGCAGCCTCAGCCAACAACCTGTCAAAGTCATCATGGCTACTCCCGGGAGATTTTCAGCAACCGATGAGGCCACATACCAGCCCTGCTGGGAGGTCCCCTGAAAGATTATCACTTGTCAAACCACCAACCAGTCATCTGGGTAAATTCGAATTTTCATTCACTAACCTGAAACTTGCGGACATTTAATGACTGGGATGATTTTCATTCATTATACCCTCTGGCAAACTAACATAACTATGGAAAATCACCATTTGTAATGGGAAAATCCGCTATTTCAATAGCAATTTTCAATAGCTATGTTAGTTTACCAGAGAGTAACCTTTTCATTTTGATCTGGGATTCCCCGAATCCATTCACCATGATTTCAGGCTTCGGTCACGACGTGAGGTCCCTATAGCCTGGTTGAAGGATCATCCCAGCTGCCGCTGTCGTGGATAGCGGAAAAACATGGTCAATTGGGATCATATATTCTAGGTCCTAGGTACAGTAGAAGCCCTGAAATTTTCAAACGTTTCTGGGAAATCCCCTTTACAAGGAGGCTTTGAAACAAAAAACATCCTGTAAATGAGGGATTTTCCATTGCTATGCTTTATTTTCGGAGGATAGTCATGGAACAGTGAAAAGCAAACAATAAACAAAACACAGTTTTAAGACTGACGTGCGGAATAGTCCTAGCTGGTGGACTTTGATTTCTCGCTTTGAGTGAACAAATTGATCGATGTAGGCAGCCTGACACTCTACACTTTGGGTTATTTCGGTAATTTCAACCCATGGTTTTCAATACTAGACGTCTAATTTTGGATGATTTGGGGTCACCCTTGGTACGGTAAACATCTCAAAAAAAACGCTCGGTTCTACATCCCGACTTGTATCCCCATCAAATGGTTGATTAAGACTTCAACTCACCGTTTTTTGTAAAACATTTCTCATTATACCACCTGCCATGTTTTGGAATAGAAGACCCTCAAGTATTGTATATCCCATTATGTCATCAAATTGTTGATTAAAATCACAATGTGCGTGTATGTATTTGTGTTGGTCACATCTCTCATGATACCCTCCACTAATCAAACGTGGCAATTCTAAACCCCCCAAGTAGAGATGTTGTATGTTCCTATATGATTTTCCCATGTTTCCCATGATTTTCCCATTAAAACTAGCCACAATTGAGTACCGGATGGTATCCCCCGCAAGGGGAGTGAAACGTTGCTGCTATTGATTCTGCCCAGCAATGAGCAATTGACAAAACCCCTATGACTTGTACATACATACAGCCATATGTATATATATATATGTGGGTAAAAAAACAGGTGACTATGTGACTCTCATAATAACTGTGGAGGTTCCTATTGATCCACCATTAACAACAACGGAACACAGTTGCGGCTTTTGAACACTTCGAAACAGAGATTCCTGGACAACCTGGTGCTGTCGATGGATCTTGTCACTAGGATAGTCGTCAAAATGGATCCTGGAGCCAGGATAGAAACGGGAAGGGGCCTCCCAAATGATACAGTTGTGGCCGTTTACCAGTTATAAATGGTTATAACATGTTATAACTGGTTGTAAATAGGATAATACGTTCCATACATGGTGTTATTTCACTGCTTATATCTGGTATTTCGGGCCATAACTGTAGGCAACGTTGTTTTATAACGAGCGCAATTCAAGGCTTTTAATGGATATATCTATTGTATTCTATTGTTAGACGTTGATGTCTTCCATGATGCCGACTTCTCAGCCCTTCTGCGCTGATTGGATGGCTCGAACCAGAAACCATGGCATGTTGGCGTTTCATCTGACAGCTGATCTGCTAAGAATCTGATATTCCTTCATGAATCCTGACATTGCATCTGACATTGTGTCTGTCATTTTCTCTGCCATGTATTACCGCATTCGTATCTGACAGCCATATTCTGCGTTACATACATTCATTGACATGTATGTTATAACATTGCTAGCTGACATGGCATCTGACATCTTATTTGGCACAAGTTCTGACATTCTATATCATGGTGAATCTTCGATACCAGTCAAAACAAAAACAATGTGTTAGTTGGTGAATGGACTAATTTCCCCATTGAAATCGCAAAAACAATTCAAGCACTAGTTCGTGTCTAACCAGTCGGTTGACCCAAATATCTGACATAGGTTCGGACCGTTGACATTCGAACCGACTCGCTGACATTCTCACATTCTATCTGAACCTTCTGACAAACGGCATACAGTTATGGCCCGAAATACCATCACTGAAATAACCTCATTTATAGATCGTATATGATCGTATAATGTATAACCCCATCTTAAACCATCTGCACTTAGTAAAGGGCCATAACTGCACATTCTGACATTTTATACATGGCGTTTTGTCTGACATATTCTCTTTCACATATCTGCTGGTTATTTCATGTCATTTCATCTAACCAGAAACATCTGATAGTCTTTTGGATACATATTCTGACATGTTATCATTCTTGACATCCTTTTTGATATGACATCTGAAATTCTCCCTGACCGTCTGTATGAGATGTATTCAAACCTAAATTCTGACATTTTGTCTGACAAGCTGAGATAGAATTTAGAGAACCTCCCATGGCACGTGGGAAAAAAAAACAATGTGTGTCTAAAGGATTGCGAAGTAACCGCGCTCGGATGTTCTCTGAAGTACCAAAATATCTAGTAGCTGCAGTCTGGTGATATTCAAAATGTCATTGCTAGTGGAACCCGTGTATGTTCTTGGGCTACACCTATATTCCAATTAAGCATATTATATTATGATACCCAGAGGATCCATGTATGGTATATATGCTAACATGACTGGGGTATATGGATGGTAAGTGTTACCATATATAGCATACATGGATCCTATGGGATATAGAAGTGGAATATCCTATTGCTTCGTGGATCGCCTCGTTGCGTTCGTTGCTGGTGCCAATTTGGATGGCCGGTAAATGGAAGAAGTTCTGGTAGTAAAACGCTAGTTACATTGGTTGTACACCATCTACAGTACATCCATGTACCATAATCATAATCAGTTAAGTGTGGTTGGATTGGTTGGTATATCCTATATCTATCTACTAATTTTCTACTATACTTCAATGGTGATGGGGGTCATATACCAACTTGCATTAATTACTGGGGAGCGCCACCTTGCCAGTTTCAACAACCCTGATATCTCCTTGTTGCAAGGCCCTGGCGAAGGTATGGCATCAGCAATTCCTTTACCGCGTCTTCTGTTCCTGCAAAAAAATCGCAGTCGTGGCTGTGATGGGAAAATCATGAGAAATAACCACGCATAGTGAGATAAATATAATGATAGACAACAGGATACATCCCCAATGATCTGTTTTTTTGTGGATTTGTCTCAACATGAAAAACTGTAAATAGCTATCACCATTGTCCATTTGGATGATGGCATTTGGGGGTATACCCCATTCTCAGACACAACCATACACTCAGTTTCAATGTTATTTGCATTTTCCTAGATGTGAATCATTCCCATGCATACTCTAGCAGTTCATATGAGTGTGGCTCAGAATTTCAAGTTTAATGGGCAATACTATATGACCGAAGGAAGTTTAGAAGTCAGAGTTCCGACAATATGGTCAAAATAGGTGTCCTGTGTTTGAAACTTCCGCCACCGCCTTGCGGTACTACTGGTAATCTATTGGTAAAGCATCGGAATTTCTTCAAGGGAACATGGTAACATGGTGCTATGCCAGGGCTTGGTTGGTTGCCCGGATCTCCGGGGGAATACCATCTGCGGTTTTCGGCCGTCCTGATTTGACGCGCAGGCCCACTTGCCCATTGTGTGGGGGCGAGTTTGGAGCACGTCTTGACAAATTGTCCGCGCATCCTCCAGGAATTTGGGCACCCCCATGAGGAGATCAGCTGGCCTTGCATCTTAGAATCTTCTCCTCTTGATGATTTGCTGGTTCTTCTGTCTCGGACTGGGCGATCTGTTGCTTTGCTTTGCCGATAAGGAAAAAGGTACTAGAGCCTGCCGGTTGACGGTAATGCAATAAGCACCGTTTCCCTTCGGCCCTCTGGGCACAGGAAAGGTGTTTGGTTTTAGGTGTGCCAGCTGCAGTAAGGGGCAACCTGACCCTACGGGGCCTGTCTCAATAACCAAGCCTAAAAAGCCTTCAACCCTATGAGAATGGCTTAAAGTCCCGATTTAAGTAGAAAGTAGAAACTCAGAAAATGCTAAGTAGCCGTTCTCCAAAAATGGTCCTGATCAGAACAATTGAAATATGGAGGTTACCATAAATGGGGATACCCCAAAATGGATGGTTTATAAGGGTAAATGCTTTTTTAAATGGGTGATTTGCGGGTACCCTTATTTTAGGAAACCCCCATTTGGTATCTTGAAGTCCTTTGCTATTGAGCCATGCCAAACTCAGCATCGGTGCAAAAACCGGCCCAGTCCTCGGAAAGTATACACAAAAAAGTGCTCAATTCCATGAAAGCGGTAGAATTCCAGCCATTCCACCAATTGCTTCAATGCAGCACTGAAGAATTCACGGCTTTCAAAAAAGACCTCAGATGTGCGAGAGCTGGTAGAAATTTATCAACTCATGTCTGAGCCTGAGCCTGACAAAAAAAATTGATTCACCAACAAAAACCTGATATATTTGATATGTTGCCTGCAGAAATGATGGTTTGACACCTCCAGAAATGCTATATCTGGATCCCAGCGAACATTGGGGATTCAAATCTTCCATGATAACACGAGTCTCTGGTGGAGCTAAATCGCTGGATGTGTGAACGCATAGGCTATTTTTTTTGGGGGGGAAGTAACCATAAAAGTAGCATGGAAGGTGCACATCCAGGGGCTGACATTAAGCATATATCAGTTCCAAGATGTTATAGGCATATCCCATAGGATCCATGTATGCTATATATGGTAACATTTACCATCCATATACCCCAAATGTTAGCATATATACCATACATGGATCCTATGGGTATTGGATACCTGGATATACCCTTGGTCACTAGATTCACATTTGGATACTGATAGCCAACATTGACTGGATTCACCAACCAAAATACCCCTGAATCCAGTGTTTTTTTAATCATCATGTCACTTTTATTGCGTCACTTTCGGGGATACCATGTCTGGTCAAAATCATACATAGATCATCTATCCAATATATATATATATGTATGTATATATATATGTATGTATATGTATAAAATATATATATATATATATGTATATATATATATGTATGTATATATATATATATGTGTATATATATATTTATGTGTATATATATATGTATATATATATAAATATAGCTGAACATTGAAATAAGCCCAGGGAGTCACAGCTCCCGAGATTTCCCATGGAAGGGCTAAAATAAATCTCCCACCGAACGGACGGAAGTCACCAAGAGACGTCCCGGACACAGGCCATTGTGTGGTACTTCTGCAGCAACCCAACTTTTCTTCTGGCCAGGACCCTCAAGAGATGCTTTCCATCCTGGTCCTGTTCGCCAGAGATACACAGAGATTCAGAGCAGTGAAATGGCCATGGCTATTAGTGAAATAACTGGTTATGAGTCTATGGGAATATACATAAACCATAAATGGTGTTATAAGTACTTGTAACTGGTAAATGGTCCTATTTAAAATTTAGTTAGGTTAAGTTGTCTATTTTGAACCTTGCTCAAGCGCGCGCGCCAAGCTTGACGGCGTCCTCCAGAAAGACCTCGAAGCTTTCTCTGTCGGTTTCTTCCGCAGGCCAATCGCACAACAGGACGCGTCGATAGCCGCGCACTGGACGCCGATGGGCGCCGTTGGGACCCGAACAAAACCTCGCCCCGGGTGGCCATGGACTGAAAGCGTTCATGGGTTGCTAATCCATCAACCAGACCCACAGTTATGGTGTGAAATACCAGTTATAAGAAGTTATAAATCACTAAGTGGATTCCCATTAGAATGTACAATCCCATCTACAGAAACCAGTTGTTTCACCATTTACAATTGGTTTCTGGGGCCCATAACTGTATCAAAGATTGGATGGTGGTTTCAACCCCCCCTTAAAAAAAATCGGGGATCATTGTCACATTGATTCAGGCTATTGTGGGATGATTCCCTTAGGTCATCATATGGTTTAAAAATGTTTAACATAGATTGTTAGTCCTTTATACATAATCATATTGTACTATGTTATATATCTATATATATATATGTATACATGTGTGTGTCTATAGTTGTATGTCAACCCAACAACCAGGTAAGCATCATGGCATTAAAAAAACCTCAGGTAACCCTCAAAATAACATCCTTAGCAATCCAGTTGGCTAATTCCTAGCCAACAAAGTACGCCGAGCCGCCCCAAAATGACTCCGTTGTTTTTTCCGCCTGGAAATAATAGACCCTGAAGAAACACACACACACACTAGATAAGAATGGATCATTGTAGTGATCCGGCAGGAACTGAATCCTGTAACGTGCAAATTAGAAGAGAAACAAATTTGATAACATTGGGGTACTTGGCTTAGCCCCTTGCCATCACAGTGAAAAATCGCAGGTACGCCAGACTGATCAGGTCTGGTATCACCACCAATTGCAAGTGTCTTCGTTGGCAGTAGACTTGCAATGGTGCTACTGCCCCCTGCATTATTTAAGAAGGGAGAAGAGGGAAGAAAAAAGAAGGAAGTTTTGTTACACACACACCCGGCAGAGCCGGGGAAACCCTGAAAGGCAAGAGGAAGAAAAAAGCGGACACACGACGGGCCGACGGCCAAAAACAGCGCAGGGGGGGGAGGGGAACAGACGGACCTCCGGAACCAACCTACACGGCGAAACGGACCTGACAAAAACAGAGCACACACCTAAACCCAACGACACACTACGGAGAAGCCAGAAGGAGGCTTATTAGGGACCAATGGGGACTAGTTGGTGAAAAAAACGGAAACAACAAAATTGTCAAACAGGACTCAGTTCCTAAAAAACCTAAAGGTCGTGCGTTATTCCCTTGCCGGGACCGTGGTCAAGTCTTGCCCCAATTGGCATAAACGGCTTTCAAGTTCCAGCGAATTAGGTGCACAATATGTTTGACTTCACCAGAAAACCAAAAAGAAAAAACACCACACCTGCAAGTCGTGTGCTTGCCTGGTTCTTGTGTCATGTAATGATGCAATGTGACTGCAAAAGTTGCTGCGAAATAAGAGGTTTCTGAATGTTCGGCACAGCTTCACACAGTAGAAATGCATTCCACAGGGTTCACAAAGGACAGCCGGAGCAGCGAGAATCTCCAAAAAACGGTGGATAACAGTAAGGCCCACTGTTGCACTTTACTTAGACGAATTGCTAATTCAAAAGTGTAAATTCGGAAGTCAATTCAGTCGACATTCACCCCAAATAGGGTTGCCTCAATTGGCCCTATGGCACCATGTCGGAGTCACCATAGGAATCACACTAGATAAGAATGGATCATTGTAGTGATCCGGCAGGAACTGAATCCTGTAACGTGCAAATTAGAAGAGAAACAAATTTGATAACATTGGGGTACTTGGCTTAGCCCCTTGCCATCACAGTGAAAAATCGCAGGTACGCCAGACTGATCAGGTCTGGTATCACCACCAATTGCAAGTGTCTTCGTTGGCAGTAGACTTGCAATGGTGCTACTGCCCCCTGCATTATTTAAGAAGGGAGAAGAGGGAAGAAAAAAGAAGGAAGTTTTACATCTATCCAGATGTTACACACACACATACGCATATCGCTCATAAGTTTAGCTTGTCTTGCCAATTTCATGGGTCAACTTTTTGGGTCAGGGTATATCGATTATACAAATATAACATGTTCAGTTCGCGGATTTGCTGGGCCATTCGCTGTGAAGAGTGAGTCGACTGTCAGGATTCCTCGTGGCCCTTTATTTTTTCCACCGTCATTTCCGCCAGCAAAATAGGCATATTCTCCGAATCAAGCGTTCCTAAAATTTCCCCTTGTGGGCAGGGTTCAAAACATCTAAGACCCTGGGGAAACCAAATTGTGGTTACTAGACTTGACCATCCACTACAGTAATTGGGTTTACCTTATTTTTTGACCCATTCCTTCTTACTCCAAACCGGATATGTAATCAGTAGTAAGATGGCTCAGCTACGGTTTATGGTACGTAGATTACAGTTATGGCCCGAAATACCAGCTTTTAGATGCTTTTAGTATAATTACTTACGGGCAGGACTAAGGGTGGTCCCGGAATGGTCGTATGAACGTCAGTGGGAGGCTCATTTCTCTGCGCAGGCGCAGTGTTTTATGACTCTGGTACATCTGTGGGTTAGCGTGGTCTAAGTCTAAGACGACACTTTGGAAAAATCAGTCAGAAAAGTATAAACCCTCTGCGGACTTCACGCGTTTCGGCCATTTCCACTTTTTCAATCTTTTTCACTTTTTTGGCGAGTCCAGATTTTATAACATTATGTAAACCCTAAATGAAACCCCTAATAAAAGTATGCATATATGTTCCATGGGGCCAGGAGATTTTATAACTTACGTAAACCCTAAATGAAACCCCTGAAAGAAGTATGCGTATATGTTGCATGGGGCCGGGGCCGGGAGATTTTACAACTTACGTAAACCCTAAAGGAAACCCCTGATAGAAGTATGCGTATATGTTCCATGGGGCCGGGAAATTTTATAACTTGCGTAAACCCTAAATGAAACCCCTGATAGAAGTATGTGTATATGTTCCATGGGGCCGGGAGATTTTAAAGCTTACGTAAACCCTAAATGAAACCCCTGAAAGAAGTATGCGTATATGTTGCATGGGGCCGGGGCCGGGAGATTTTACAACTTACGTAAACCCTAAAGGAAACCCCTGATAGAAGTATGCGTATATGTTCCATGGGGCCGGGAAATTTTATAACTTGCGTAAACCCTAAATGAAACCCCTGATAGAAGTATGTGTATATGTTCCATGGGGCCGGGAGATTTTAAAGCTTACGTAAACCCTAAATGAAACCCCTGATAGAAGTATGCGTATATGTTCCATGGGGCTGGGAGATTTTAAAGCTTACGTAAACCCTAAATGAAACCCCTGATAGAAGTATGCGTATATGTTCCATGGGGCCGGGAATTTTATAACTTACGTAAACCCTAAATGAAACCCCTGAAAGAAGTATGCGTATATGTTCCATGGGGCTGGGAGATTTTAAAGCTTACGTAAACCCTAAATGAAACCCCTAATAGAAGTATGCGTAGGACGTCACTGTTGTTATGACAAGGAAATCCCCTGGCACTGGGATGATGGAACCAATGGGTTGCTAGCTCCGCTCTCGGGTATGGCCCACAGGACGAGGGGTTGTCCCTTCAGAACAACCCCTCGTCCTGTGGGTATACTTACACCCCCATTGATGGAATGTCTAATCGCATTGAAATAACCAGTTATAACTAATAGCCATGGCCATAACTGTAGACTCCGTATATTGAATCCAGCAAACATTTCACTGGGCACCTTGTCATGTGTGGTGTTTCAACCCAGCAAACATTTCCAAGGCGCAGTGGAAGATTTTCTGACACCCAGCGCTTCGTGCTCTTGGTCAGGAGCAAGGCAATAAAATTGCCATCTTCGCCGAAGCCTCGCGGCAAAAACTGCGGCCGATTATCCGATTCAAATGGGAATTGGATGGGAAATTCCGCGACCCATCGAGTTTTTTGGAGATCTTACAGTTATGGCCATTTACCAGTTATTCAAGTAATGAACTAACATCTAGAATAACACCATTTATGGTTTATGTATATATAATGCCATTGAAATAACCAATTATAGCTAATAGTCATGGGGTAACTGTATCTCCAACTGGCGAGTCTCCAGTTACAGCTAAGTTGGCAGATATATTGAACGATAGTTTCATGGGGATAACACCAACTTAGCAAACTGGGGCACCAGCATTGTTTGTAACTCGAATAAGTAGATAGATATATATATATGTATATCAAACTAGTTTACACTATATTATGGGATCGAAATCCAGCAAACACAAGTAATGGCCCGAAATATCAGTTATAAGTTACTCGTCAGAAAGTCATCCAGTTATAAGTTATAAGTTATCCCATTTATTTATCATTTTTAAAATGTATTTGAGGGCTTTACAAAGTGAGGCCCCCTAGATATCTAAGTTGGTGAACACAACTCTAACTATAACTTATGAATCGATACTTAAAACATCTTTCAATTCTAGTATGGGGTGAAACTAAACCAACAAAATCCCACATTCAACATTCTGGGTAAATTAAAATATTTCACTAACCTGAAATAAGGCCATTTTGGGATGATTCCCCTTACTAACCATGATTCCAGTGAGGTCGTAGTGAGGTCGTTATAATTTACCCAGAACATTTAACTAAACCAACACACTGAAAATTGCGCTCTCCACGCCGTCCCAAGGCACTGGGCACGGCGCTGAAGATGCGCATCGTCTCGCCGTTGGCCAAGCGCAGCTCCGTGGGCGCCGGCAGAAGCGCCAGGTCGCGCGGGCTGCGCCAGGCGCTGGAGTCCTACGACGGGTCCCCATAAAAACGGGCCACAGGGGAGATAAGAGATGTTAAGATATGCCAATATATGTCAATATGTAAGAATATGTCAAGATATGTAAGAATATGTTCAATATTTTCAGATATGTTCAGATTTGTTTAGATATGTTAAGAAATGTTAAGATGTGTTAAGATATTTTAATAGATGTTGAAAAATCCGAAGAAGTGTTAAGATATGTTAAGATATGTTGAGATATGTTGAGATAGATGGAGATATGTTAAGATATGCCAATATATGTCAATATGTAAGAATATGTCAAGATATGTCAAGATATGTAAGAATATGTTCAATATTTTCAGATATGTTCAGATTTGTTTAGATATGTTAAGAAATGTGAGGATGTGTTAAGATATTTTAATAGATGTTGAAAAATCCGAAGAAGTGTTAAGATATGTTAAGATATGTTGATATATGTTGAGATAGATGAAGATATGTTAAGATATGTTAAGACCTGTTAAGATGTGTTAAGATGTGTTAAGATGTGTTAAGATTTGCTCAGATGTGTTAAGAATTGTTCGTATGTGTTAAGCTATCTTAATACATGTTAAGTGTCAAATTATGTCAAGATATGTTAAGATATGTCAATATATGTTAAGATACGTTAATATATGTTAAGATATGTTTATATATATCTTAAGATATGTTAAGATATCTTAATATATGTTAAAACAGGTTAAGACATGTACAGATATGTTAAGATATGTTAATATATGTAAATATGTGTTAAAACGTGTTAAGACAAGTTAATATGTGTTAAGATACGTTAAGATACGTTAAACTATGTTAAGACATGTTAACATAGGTTAAGGCATGTTAAGACATGTTAAGGCATGTTAAGACATGTTAAGATGTGTTAAGATATGTTAATACATGATAAAATAGGTGAATATACGTTAAGATATGGTAATACACGTTAAGATATGTTAAGATATGGTAAGATATGTTAAGGTTAAGATATGTAACAACATGTTAAGATATGTAAAAACATGTTAAGATATAATAATATATGTTAAGATATGTTAATATATTTTAAGATATGCTAAGACATGATAAAACATGTAAAGACATGTTAAAATGATTAAAGATATGTTAAGAGATGTTAAGGTATGTCAAAAAATGAAGTATGTTAAGATATGTTAATATGTGTTAATATATGTTAAGACATGTTCAAATATGTTAAGATATGTTGAGATATGTCAAGATATATTAAGATATATTCAGACATGTCAATATATGTCAAGATATGCAAAGATATGTAAAGATATGTTAAGATATGTTGAGATATGCTCAGATGTGTTAAGATATGTTCAGAAATGTTAAGAAATGTTAATATATGTTGAGATGTGTCAAGATATGTACATGTATGTTGAAAAATCTTGAGGATTGTTAAACTATCTCAATATATGTTAAGATATGTTGAGATAGATTAAGATGTGTTAAGATATGTTAAGACATGTTAAGATATGTTATGGTGTGTTAAGATGTGTTAAGAAGTGTTAAGATGTGTTAAAATATGTTAAGACATGTTAAACTATGTTAAGAATGTTAAGATGTGTCTAGAAATGTTAATATATGTCAAGATATGTCAAGATATGTCAAGATATGTCAATATATGTTAAGATATGTTCAGGCATGCTAAGATACGTTAATATATTTTAAGATATGCTAAATTATTTTAAGATATTTTAAGATATTTTAAGATATTTTAAGATATGTTACAGTAATAAATGCCAAAATGTGCTAAGATATGTTAATCTATGTTGATTTTTCTTAAGACATGTTAACATGTTAAGATATGTTAATATATGTTGAGATGTGGTAAAACATTTTTAGATATGTTAAGGTATGTTAAGATATGTTACGATATGTTAAGATATGTTACGATATGTTAAGATGGGTGCAACAACTCTGAAATTGATGATTTCAAGTTTTTCGATCATCATTTACTTCGATGTTCATCGAAATGGAAGAATCGTTTCCCCCAATGCCAATGCAAGGTGATGATCAATCAAGAAAGAACAAAAAATCATGGGTGCATTTGGGGTCCCCAGTTTTTTGGACAAACCCGCAAGCCCCTTTTTTTACATTCAATGATCGATTGAGACTCTGCTGGTTCCTAAGTCCCCTGTTAAGTTGCTTTAAATTCCAGTGGTTCTGTATAAATTATCTGGGATTATCTGGATTATCTGAGTAAATTATAATGATCACTAATTAACCTGAATTAAGGCCATTTGGGAATGATTTCCGTTATTTACCATGATTCCAGGGTTCGGTCGCGACGTGAGGATATTATAATTTACCCAGAGTTATCACACCATTCACCAAAAAAGCGATCAGAACATCTCAGGTTCCACGGCTGGGATTTTTTCGCAAGAGATGGCCAAGACCCAACGGTTATGGCCATGGCTATCAGTTATACAACATGTTATAACTGGTTATTTCTATAGTGATTCATGGTCATTAATAGTGATCAATAGTGGTTAAATGGCTGGTCAATAGTGGCTAAACAATGCTAAACATGTGATTGATGATGGTTATAACTGGTTATTTCTATGGGATTTTACATAAACCATACATGGGCTTATTTCAGTGACTTATAATTAACTGGTATAACTCGGGCCATAACTGGAAGTTCTCAACAAAAAACACAGCCGCTCTGGGCACGGCCCCCGAACTTGATGGAACCAGCTGTTCATATCTGAATCTATTGTGGTAATTCCACCCGAAGTGGGTGAGGTATAATATTTTCTCTTATTATTCGCAAAAAATCGCAAATAAAGTAGATCAATTAGATTCAAATCGGTATGCTATGCAATTATTCTTCATGGTTTGCTGAGCTTGCTAGACTGTTTGGACAAACGAGTGTGAATCCCGCATTTTTACCATACCCTTTAGCCGAGGTTCCTCGCTTTCAAAATACACATCGGAAGGTTGTTGGTCCGGAAACCATTCAGTAAGCGGCACAGCCGCACTCGTGACATTTCTCACTTGCAGCGCAGACTGGTGGTCACAAGTTTCAGCAAAGGTTTCACCGGAGCTCAGACAAAGAAATGCCAAAGCCCAAAGCATGGAAAATCAGTACAGTTTTCGGACACTCATGGACAGCGCGCTACATTTAAGATGTCGATGGGCACAGCCACCATAGCGTCATTTAGCCTCCAGAGCCAGACACCATGCGAAATGAACTTCATTGCAACATTGCCACCTCCTTCTAGAGCCTTGTGCATGTTTTAATTACACCCCTTGAATTTAAGATGGAACCTCCAAAATGGCCAAATCAAGCTTTGAAATGATTCGGAATCATAGTCGGTTTCAGAGCCCGCACACATTGGGCTCCCAGTCGCTTAAATCTATGGGACAATTTTTGTGGAGTTGGGGCTCTAAATGCAAACATCAGGGTTGGAATCGTCGGCAAAACCATAGCCTATTCTTGGTGATTCAAGAGTGTTCAAAGCCAAAAAAAGAAATAACTGGTCACTGGTCACTGGTCTTAAAAATCTTCAAACTAGATTATTCAGCTGGCCAATTTGTCCAAAAGAGGAGCGGACAATAGACTCTTAACAAACAAGTGATTAAAAAACGGCCAACGCAAATTGTTGGTTCTGGTCCCCAATTTATATGATTCTACCCTTAAGGAAATGGATAGCTCTCCCCATCCAAGAGCAACTCACCAGAACATGATACAAACTGGGACCCTCAAAAGCAAAGTTGGTTTATTTGCCTGGACTATGGACTTTGTGACTGGTGGTAGATATGTTGAACTAGCTACTGGTGTTAAACAAAACCAGCAAACATACCTTCCGGTAATATTAAAAAAGGGTCATTTACAAATGAGTAATCATTAATCTACTAAACATGGTGAATTTCCAAAGCTATTTAACAAGTTGCCAAATGAATCCAGATGGTATATCTGTATTTACCCCATTATGTCCCATGATATCACCACTACATCCCATTAAATCACCTGTTTCAAAGGTAAATCAGTGAGCTAAGTTGGGGGGCGCAGTGCCAGCACTCGTTTTTGTCGCTTGCGTTTTTCTGACTCGTCGCTGTGAAACAAACGACCCACTGGTCCGGTACCAATGGGAGGATCACAAGTCCCAGTTTCCTGGAGTTATGCCACAGCTGGATTATAACTCCACAAATATCAAGCAGGAATTCGTCCTGGAATGATTTCCTCTCTCTGTCTCTATCTATTTATATATATATACTGTTATACTATATATAAATAATATCCCTACAATTTCGGGCCGAACGATTCGAACGATAGCGAAGTTGATTTATAACTAGCTGAAGTATGGTATATGGGAGATATATCTATAGTATTCATGGGGTGAATCTAAACCAACAAATCCAACAAACATAACTGGGGGCCCCACATTGTATGATCCCCATTGCTGTGAAAAACCACAGAAAGCACCAGGATTCCAGGATCGGCTGCACTCGCTGGGTCAATAATCATCCCAATCATCCACGTCGTTGTCCACGTCGTTGTTCACGTCCGCGTCAGCATTTAGCTGTCCCAAATGCATGGGAGGATGTTCCTGACCTCAGGATCTACAATCTACAGTACACATATAATATAATATACATATACATTATGTATGTATACATTAAATCATGTCATACATAATCATACAGTATAATATGTATCTATATCTATCTATATGTATATATACTGTCACACAACATATACAGGCCCATTAGAGAACACGTGCATCTCAGACCCGCTGAACATTGGTGCTTTGGTTGCGGGGGTGACCTTTTTCAGAAACATATATCATAGCAGCTCATAACATATCATTAAACTGGTGCGTTTAGTCGGTGAAAAATGCAGTTGTTTTGGGTTAAACCACCATTCTTATGGGTACTTGGAGTCTTTATCTGGATAAATTATAACTGGTTGGTGGTTTCAACCCCTCTGAACAATATTACTCTGTTGGGATGATTATTCCCAATATATGGAAAAATAAAACATGTTCCAAACCACCAGCCAGATAATCCTTCACTCATCTCAAATTTTCGGCTATGGGAAAGTTACCCCAAGCCCAAGCCGGACACTTTCAGTGACGTCACGTTAGTCACGTTAGTGAGGTGATCAGATTCTTCCAGATTCTACCCTCTGCTAAACGTGGTGCCGAATCTCGCCGGGGAATTTTTTTCTCCTGCCCCGGGGAATTTTTTTCCTGATCTGTTCTGTTTTCCGTCCCCTGCATCTATCCTGCCACTTCCCTTCCATGCAGCATGCTATTTGCAGCATTTTGGAGCTGGAACCTTTCATTTTGCGGGTTATGTGCGACATTTTGGAGCTGAACCTTCCATGCTGCATGCTATTTGCAGCATTTTGGCGCTGGAACTTTTTATTTTGCATGCTATTTGCCCATTTGGGCGCAGGAACCTTCTATTTATCATGCTGTTTGCCGCATTTGCGCACAGGAACCTTTCAGTTTGCGTGCTATTTGTAGAATTTGGGAGCTGGAACCTTCTATGTTGTTGTATTTGTTGTTACGTTGTGCTGTCTGTTGTAATGTTTGTTGTTGTTTCTTTGTTATGTTTGTTGTTGCGATGTTTGTTCTTGTGAGGTTTGCTGTTACGATGGTTGTTGTTGTTGTTGTTGTGGTGGTTGTGATGGTTGTGATGGTTGTGATGGTTGTTGTTGTGATGCTTGCTCTTGTGATCGTTGTTGTTATTGTGTTTAGAAAGATTGTTTGCTCGCTGGCTCCCTTGCTTGCTCCCTTGCCTGCTTGCTTGCTTGCTTGCTTGGTTGGTTTGCTCGCTCGCTTGCTTGCTTGCTTGCTCGCTCGCTCGCTTGGTTTGCTGGCTGGCCGCCTTGCTTGCTTGCTTGCTGGCTGGCTGCCTGGCTGGCTGGCTCGCTCGCTCGCTTGCTTGCTTTGCTGGCTGGCCCCCTTGCTTGCTTGCTTGCTGGCTGGCTCGCTTGCTTGCTTGGTTTGCTCGCTGGCTCCCTTGCTTGCTTGCTTGCTGGCTGGCTGGCTGGCTGGCTTGCTTGCTTGCTTGCTTGCTGCCTTGCTGCCTTGCTTCCTGGCTTCCTTGCTTCCTTCCTTCCTTCCTTCCTTCCCTCCTTCCTTGCTTCCTTGCTTGCTTGGTTTGCTCGCTGGCTCCCGTGCTTGCTTGCTTGCTTGCTTGCTGGCTGGCTGGCTGACTGGCTGGCTGGCTGGCTTGCTTGCTTGCTGCCTTGCTGCCTTGCTTGCTTGCTGCCTTGCTGCCTTGCTGCCTTGCTGCCTTGCTGCCTTGCTGCCTTGCTGCCTTGCTGCCTTGCTGCCTTGCTGCCTTGCTGCCTTGCTGCCTTGCTGCCTTCCTTCCTTCCTTCCTTGCTTCCTTGCTTGCTTCCTTGCTTGCTTCCTTGCTTGCTTCCTTGCTTGCTTCCTTGCTTCCTTCCTTCCTTCCTTGCTTGCTTGCTTGCTTGCTTGCTTCCTTGCTTGCTTGCTTGTTTGCTTGCTTGCTGCCTTGCTGCCTTGCTGCCTTGCTTCCCTGGCACACCAGTCTGCGAGAACTTAGCCGGGAAAAAAATTCCCCGGGGAGGAAGAAAAAAAATCCCCGTAAAAATGGGGTACCGGTAAACGTTTACATAGCTATTGAAAATCACATGTTTTTTGTAGGTAAATCAATTATTTCTATGGGCCATTTTCAATAGCTGCGTTAAATTACCAGAGGGTATCCCACACATCTGGTGGGGTGTAATTGGTTTTACCACCATAACTTCACCATAACTTTTCAAAAATCCATGATCCGCAACGGTGTTAACTTGCTGGTCATCCCATATTGGGAATCCGAAGATCATGGGTATATCAATACCATCCCCCAATTTGGGAATCTTTATGGATACCCTCCACAAAAATTAACATAGACCCTGCCAGATAGGGGTTGAAAGATTTGTTTCCTCTAAAAATTGGTGATTTTCAGGGTCTATGTTAATTTACCAGAGGGTATGGGACAAAATTGGCCCAAGAATTATATGGTTCATACCAACAATGTCCTTTTGGTAAAAATAGAGGGGGCCGGTTTGGTATACCATCTATCATCATTTACCTGTTTTTTACCTGTTGTTAAAGGGGTAAACAAACCCTCTATTAATCAACCAACCAAAGGAACCCTTTATTAATAGAAACAGGACCCTATAGTATTTTTCGAAAAGACAAATGGAAATACATAGATTCGACATATATATATATATGTCCTTGTTTCAGTATACTATGATAACAACCAATGGGAAAAGCACATCCACCCTCTGGTAAACTAACGTAGCTCTGGAAAGTCACCATGTTTACTAGGTAATTCAACTATAAATAGGCAATTTTCTATAGCTATGTTAGTTTACCGGAGGGTATGGTTCATCCTAAAAATCGACCACCATTTTTGCGTGGTCCCCGGTGACCCATCTGTGAAAACCACCGCCCGGCTCGGGGCTCCAAGGCTCTAAGGCTCTAAGGCTCGGCTCGGTCCAAGGGCGCACGGTCGTTCAAATTGAACTACCCGAGATATCCATTATTTGAAGCAATAAATAATGGATATAATACAATGTGAGGCCCCCAAGATAACTAAGTTGGTGCAAATAAGTCCAATAACTATGGTTTGTGGTATTTATAACTACAGTTACTGGGGCTTAAAACCCAACTTATCACCGGCGGGGCCCACATTGTAGGGATAATATGGATTATTGATCAACATCATATCAACTATAATAGGGATAATAGGGATGATATTCATTGATTGAGGGCTTCAATCCCCATTACTATTCATATCCCTATTATAGTTGATTCAGTCCACACATTGGCACGATCCCCAAGTAGTCATTGCTTGAATCCGAGCTTTGGCAAATTTCATCAACCTGAACTCAGAGCATTCTGGATTGGTTTCATATACTAACCACCGTTTATTGGTCAACAACGTATTTTGATTTGTATCCCGCACAAGTATTATCATTATCATAAACCGACTATTATCCATTCCACCATGATGATAACTATTTTATCATAGAACAATATATTGTTCACCATTATTATGGAATATATTCCAACTCGTTGATTAATGGAATATAACTCCCCCAACCAACTATTATCCTGAACATTAACCATAAGCCAACTATTATCACCAACTAAAAACCATGAACCAACTATTACAGTTATGGCCCGAAATACCAGTTGTAAGTCACTTATAAGCCCATTTATAGACTCTATAATTCCATAGAAATATCCAATTATAACCATAAATCATCATTAATCACATGTTTAGCCATTATTAACCACCATTACCCACTATTGATCACTATTAATCACCAATAATAACCAGTTATTATAACTAATAGCCAAAGCCATTTCACAGTATGCTTAACATAACTTCCCCCCTTCCATACCACCTTAGCGACGCGGAACTCAATCGCTTCAGCAATGCGTGAGGCTGTTCACCAAAGCGCCGTTCAATGGCTTGTTCCAGCAAAGGGACATCAGAGGTCAACCTACAATGTGGGCCCCCCAGTGATGTGAATGTTGGTTTAGATTCGCCCCAGTAACTAGTTCGTTATAAATATCATAAACCATAGTGAAATTGGACTTATTTGCACCAACTTAGCTATCCAACGGGGGCCTCACATTGTATGGTTGATGGTGGGTACCAAATTAAGATCGGATTTGATGGACTTCAATGGAATTTACTGGGAGTTTTCATGGGATTTAAGGAGATTGGAAAGGAAATTTAATGGGATTTAATGAGATTTGATGGGATTAACCCACAAGAATAGGGATTCAAAACAAACTACTTTATGGAAATATCATGTAGATGTAGTGGGAATACTGGGAATAGATCATATGTATAAAATATGTATATACATACATATACATATTACATATTACATATAATATAAGTCGAGGGGTTTTTGGTTTGTGCCCTGATCACAGGCTGATGGCTATGAGCAGGTTTTGCTTTGTAGCTGGGTCATATTCCCAGGTATCTCAGGCTGGTAAGATTTTGCATCAAATCACCTGCAAATCACAGGCAATGTGGAAAACCCAATGTGGTAAACTGGCTGGTGGTGCAATAACTATCTTGAAAAATATGAGTTCATCAAGGGGGAGAATGACATCTATTATGGAAAATAAAAGTCATGTTAGTCATGTTCCAAACCACCAACCGGTAAACAATAAACAATAAACAATTTGCCCAGTTTTGCCATGGTAATCGCATGTGACCAACATAATAAACATAAAGGTACAATAATGAACTAGAAGATCCCAGTGGCTCATTTACTCATGGGTTATATAATTGTGCAGTATCACTACAGCTATGACCCAAAATACCAATTATTATTGTCAATTGTCACTGAAATAACCCCATGTATGGAATGTATAGTCCCATGTCAATAAGCATGCTCTAATCATAACTAAGCACTATTAACCACTATTAACCACCATTTCCCATAAATGGTGTCGGGCCACAACTGTGGGGTGTTCGTTGGTAACATGAGTCAGACCTTTCAGGGAAACCCCAAATAATGGGTTTACGTTCCTCAAACTTTGTGGCATTGCATCCAGTTTGCCCCAGTTGCATCAGGTTTTAAACACTTGCTGAATTAACTATGGTTTATGGTTGATACATCCACAATAAAGATATCTATAGATACCTATATACCTATATACATATAATGATATCTGTAGTTTTCTTGGGGTGAAACTCAATCAGCAAAACAGTTTCACCTTTTTGAGGTTCCAAGGAACTTGTCATCAAAAGTGCTGACCCTTCGATCGGCATCGCCGTACTTGGCACCGGCACGGAAGTCTGTCCGGTAATGATTCGCCACTCCTTGAGCTGCGGCTCTGAAGATCCCAACGGGTATGGTTCGTTATCCACCAATGAGTGTTTATGGTTATTTAGATGGGATTATACCGTCCATATTTATGGGGTCTGGTTGGTGGTATACCATGGTATACCTATGGTGATTTGAACCTACCCCTCTGCAAAATATGTCTTCGTCAGTTGGGATGATGACATTCCCAATATATGATATATGGAAAAAAACATGTTCCAAACCACCAACCAGGGGTTATTTCAGTGACAAAAACAACTGCTATTTTGGGTCATAACTGCACCCAAAAATGGATGAAGTTGCATGGCTAGTTCATCCAGTTCCATGATGTTCCATGCGGGCGCCCTGTGAGCAAAACATATAGCTGGCTAGGCGGCTGTGACCTACAGCCTGAATGACGGATTGGTAGCCGTGAATAATTGCGTATGTATCTTGAATCTTCAAATGGATGTGTATGTATATATATATATAGATTGCTATTATTATCATTATCATTAGTATTATTTTGATCATAATCATAATTACATATACGTATATGTTTCTAGATGTAAACCCAAAGTAATCAAGGTAGTGGATACTGACCGTGAATGTCTATCCTAGCTACTAGCGAGGAGATTGAACGAGGAAAACTTGCAAACATGGGGAGTCTTTCATCCACAAAGATACATAGTCTTAGTTAATCATCATGAGGCTAGCTGGTCAATAAGCATGAAACTTACAAAACTTACAAGCCAGTTTAAGCAAAACAAAACCAGGTACAAAAAGAGGCCCCACAGTTATTTTTGCTGATCACACCATCGAACATACAGTTATGGCCATTTACCAGTTATAAAGTGCGTACTTGTAACCCATTCATATAAATATCAAATGTTTGCATATATATAAATTCATTTTCTATCTAGAAATCACATATACATGCTGTATTTTTACATATACATCCCATATATCGATTCCAACTCTTCCACATATGAACTCCTATTCCTATATCCCACATTGAATCCCATGCAAATCTCATGGAAGCCACCAAAAATCTCCTTCCCAAGGCTCCCAAAGTTTCCGCCAGCTCAATGTCCTGGTTCGCCCTGGGGTCCCAGGCCAGTGGATTGTGCCACCAGAGGTCATACCTGCAGCGACATGCAGCGACAAAAGAATGGGTACAATGCGCCCCCCCCCCCAGTGATGTGAATGTTGGTTAACAAAAGCCCCAGTAACTATAGTTATAAATACCATAAACCATAGTGAAATTGGAGTTATTTGCACCAACTGAATGCTATCCAACGGGGGCCTCACATTGTAGGTTTCACATGGTTTATAGCAACCCTAAAAAAATGGGAGACAAGTAAAATCCATGGCCAATTCACTGGATGATCTCCACAATTTTCTCATTTACTAGTTATTACTGGCTATTTCTATGGGATTATAAACCATAAATGGGCTTATTTCAGTGCTTATAACATCTTATAACTGGTATTTTGGGCCATAAATGTAGAAATACACCCGTTGTAAGCATCATAAAAAATTACATTTCTAGCCACTAACAATTCAAAAATTCACTATTGATCACCAGCAAAATCACTATCCAGCTATCCACTTCTTCCCAGCGACACCACGTGGGCGTTGTAGGCGAACTTCGGCTTGGCGCCTTCCTCCGGGTGATGCCTCGAGCGCTCCAGGCCTTCCTCGCGCCAGGTGGAGGAGATCTCCAGGGCATCGCTCGGAGCGCGGGCGAAGCGGTGACGACGGAAACCTCAGGGGACGACGGTGGCCACGGTGCCGTTAAGGGCGCCGTTCAAGGGAGATAGCTGGGGCCTATCTTAACCCATATGCTCCATGGTGCTAAAATATTGACCAACATAAAAACCCCATAAATCAGCCAGTTTTGTAGGCAAATATACTATACATGGAGCATATGGGTAACATTTAAGGGGATTTCAGCAACACAAATGGTGATTTCATGGGATTTTAGGAACACAAATGGAATAATAGAGATGTAATTGACTTTAATGGTGATTTAATGGTGATTTAATGGTGATTTAATGATTTAATGGTGGTTTCATGCGATTCTATTGGCGATTTAGTGGGATTCGATGGAAATCCGACTGAGATTCAATGGGATATTGAAAGCTAAAGTTCGTATAAACATAACTTCAATAACGACTGGGTTTATGGTAGATATATATATCAAGCTTGTTGGATAAAACTAAACCAACCAATAAGGGACCCATCTTTTTGTAGGTGCTTTACCAGCAAAGTTATAACGATTTCACTCGGAATTCAATGGGATTTAGCTAAGGTTCCTTGATTTCACTTGGTCCAAAAATCCGGCCATTTTTTCGAGGATTTTCCCACCTAACCTTCGTTGAGGATTTCCCTTACCTGAGAGCCTGAGAGTAGCTATAGTCTATAGTTCAACTGCTGTATAAACCAACAAACATGTTACTGGTGGTCTCCCCCGTGGATAACAAAATAACCATACACAACTCACTTACGACGCCTTGTTCATAAATATGAACATGGGCTGTATAGTGCCCACTCATTCATGATTTTCCAAGTTCGGGTAAATCCACATATGTATATACATATATAAATATATATATAGACGATTATAGACGTATGTATACAGTAGGTTAATGATGACAATAACTAGATTTATGGTCAGGCACTGTCGTTTGCCCAAATCATCAGATACCCATATGAAATGACAAGGCAGTGTCAAGGTTTACCTGTAAACCCAAGCAAATCTGGATTTTGATTTGCGTCCACAAACAAAGCCACAAATCAACAAAATTTCTGGGTCTAAGAAAACAAAGGACAGAGAGAGAGAGAGAGAGTTCCCCACCGAAAAAGTGATAATTCACTGTTCTTTTTTTTTTTGAGGTAAAATTAGGTAACCAATGGAAATTATGTGTGTATATATATATATATATCATCATTTACCGTTATTCCATGTTATTCTATATCTAGTTGCCAGCAACGTCGAGCGGCTGATGCTTTTCACTTCCTCCAACTGCTTTCCTGCTGGTGGGCCGGTGGCGCGAGATAGCCAGGTGCATCCCCCGGTGTCAAACATGGCTGGTAAAACGTTACAATTATGGCCCGAAATACCAGTTATAAGTCACTTATAGCCCCATTTATGGACTGTATAATCCCATAGAAATAACCAGTTATAACCAGTTATAACTACAACTTCAATGAAAAAACTAGTAGCCATGGCCATAACTGTTTTTTTTGCATGATTATCAATGAGCTTTGTAGCTGGGAAATTCATTGAAACAAATGGTTTCAGTTTAAGATTCTCCCCTTGAATCCATGGAAACTGGATATGATAACCCCAAATGGCTATGGGTAATGGTATATACCCGGCCTGGTAAACTAACATAAATATGGAAAGATCCACCATTTTAAATGGGAAAATCAACTATTTCTATGGCCATTTTCCATAGCTTTTTGTATGTTTACCAGGCCGGGCAATCTGTATCACCCCTCAAATGGATGGCACAATACCCAAGAGTTGGATTCGCAAGTGGATGCAGCAGAAGGCATTTTTTTGCACCTCGCAAGACAAAACCAGTGTGTAAACCCCATTAGCTATATACTGTACATACATATATAATAGGCCACAGTCTATAAATAGCTTATACATCATAGATATAAATACACACACCTATAAGTTAGCTTGTCAGCCCTCAAGTATACATACAATAAACCATAGCCAACTTCGGGTTCGACCTAATTTTCAACACTATCCAGAGGTTCCGAAGGTCGCCTTCAGATTTGACAATGGCATCCCAGGCAGTCTTCAGATAGTTTTCTGGTACCCGACCATCTGGGAAGATGTGACCAGAATTCAAGTGGAAGTATTCATCAAAATCCACCTCAGCATCTGGAAAGGGTGGAGGATCTACAGAAAAATGGTCCAAAATACCAGTAAAAAGTACACAAATCACCCCAAGTATGGTTTATGGAAAAAAAAATCCCAGTGAAAAAAACAGTTAGAACTAATAGCCATGGCCATGACTGTAGGAAGTGGGAACATAGATGTCCAACCCAAAACTTTCCTCCTCTCGACTTGGGCATCAACCAAGGCTAGTTTGAGGTGGGAAACGGCTAGCTTAAAGTGCAAACATCCGCTTTGAGCATGTGGACCATCCATGATGGGCGGATGAAACCAAATCAACCAAATCAAAAAAAAACGGCGGACCATTCTACTAATTTCTACTAGCCACTTCAATTTTTCAAGGGCAACACTATATATTGAAGCACTATATCACAATCGTATCCCACTATGTATTGATATCACTTCATTGTGGTATACTAATAGGATACTTAATATATTCAAAGCCTGGCATCAGATCTGGTTTCTAATCGTAAACCATCCGACCAACGATGACTGGGGACCCGACGATTTGATTAGGGATTCTTGGGGATGGTGCCCAGTTCTAGCTGCTGAACCGTGAGTCCCAAAATAAAAAACAGGTGATTCCAATTTTACTGGTGTTATATATATTTACTGGGAATGTATTTTATATATGTTCATATATATATATATACTGGTGTTATATGTTCATATATATATATATATACTGGGAATGCATGTTATGTGTTATTCAAAATATGGGGTTTCCTGAAGAAAAAATATGAATTTGAGGCAAGCACTTCAACGGAAGAACATCCAACAATCTCATCGTGTCCATTTCCAACAAAGAATTGGGTATCGATCCCAATTGAAGAAGTGGTTTATACACGTGTATATAGATTCCAAAAGAAGATGTGTAATTATATATCTATCTATATATACATATATATATACATTGTTATACATTATTTTATGTTTATAATGTATGTACATATAATTGATTAACTGGCTATGAACTGAAGTACAGACAACTCCAATCCGATGGACACAGTCAAGGCACGGAGGGAAGGACCCAGGTGGCATGGCTCTTGGCTCGGTACAAGCAATCCTCGTGGCTTGGTCCGGTCGGTTCTTCCACCGAAATTGACTGGATCAAGAATCCGAGCCATGGTCCAAATGTGGACACATCTGGTGGTTTGAACCCCTCTGAAAAATGAAAGTCAGTTGGGATTATGACATTCCCAATATATGGAAAAATAAAAAACATGTTCCAAACCACCAACCAGATATTTTTACAGTTCTAGGTATCTACTCTGAAAACTTGCTTTTGTTCCCGCTACTTAGTTATATTTGAACAATTTATTTTCGCTGTGAATATCTGGGAACTGCTGGAAACATCAATGATAGCTGAGTTGATGCACATAACTATGATAATAATTGATAATACATTTTAATACATGGTTTGAGTTAGATATCTATATCCAATGGGGTTTTAAACCCATGTTGAACTCTGGGGAGCACTTTGTGATGTTTCCATGTCAACTTGCTCCGTTCCCGTGACAACGTCGTCCTTGATGACTTGGTGAAAGCGATGGCTTTCGGGTTTCGGATAATCGTCAAAATGAATCCTCCCAGCCAGCAGGAAAAACAATGGCAAACTTGGAGGGAATTTGCTGGGGAAAACTACCCAGGGTTATGTGGGTTTATGTTGATTTATGTTGATTTATAGCTAATATCACTGTGGTTTGTAGCTAAAATCACTGTGTATGATTGTGTATATAGAATAATATATTCATTTTGATAGTTTGTTAAACTAAATGTTAGCCCTGGGGTCCTCTTTGTATTGCATAACATGGTATAAACATGGTATCGACAGAATCATATCCCCAAGAATAAGCACCCTGAAATTGGACACCCCAAAAGCAAATCTAGCATAACACCATATGGATTCGCCAGGGTTCTGGGGGGAAGTTTTGATTACTAGGGGAAACTATTTGCAATGATCAAGGTGGTCTTCATTACTCCCCATCCATCCAAATAGTTCTTGAATACTATACTTATATTCCCTTTGGTAACCCTAGCTATAAAGTACCTATAGTTATCTCACCATTTATGCTGGCAAAACAGATATTGTTTGGGGCCCCACCTTCGCATAACGAATCTCCCCAACGACCTCAGAAGGTCCTGAAAGCAAATTTATTGGGACAAACTTATAGTTTCAATGAGCATCCCTGTTGCATAGTATATATCCAGTTATGGCCCTTTACCAGTTATAAGTACTTATCACCCCATTTATGTAACTTCAAATCCAATAGAAATAACCAGTTACAACTAACTAATAAATGGTTACAACTGAAGGAAACACCGTGATCCAGGTTCGCAGTTCTTGCAGTTGCATGTTTGCTCGCAACTTCGACTATCACTATCTCCGACGATCTCAACCTAGATCAAAACCCTCAACGTATCCAGAAAAGTCTTACTGGTGCTTAGTAGGGAATGGATGGGAATGGGGGTTGCTGGAATTATCATTACCCTCTGGTAATTTAACATAGCTATGGAAAATCACCATTTTAATGGGTAAATCAACGAACTAAATGGACCATTTTCAATAGCTATGTCAGTCATTACCAGAGGTAATAGTTATTGTGGATCATTCCCTCATTCCCTACGTTTAGCACCAGTAAGAGTCGTTGCTATTTAACTCAGGTTTGAGGCGCTCCAGGTGGGTCGACTCGTCGTCGATCTCCATCAATGCTTGGGCTGGTGGTATGTATTCTTTATCTCACCACATCGAATTTCCAGCTGTATCATGTTGTATCCACAAAAATATCTCCATATGTTCATGGTTTTTTAAAACCCATCTTAAATCACTCACTATTAAATTCTGATTCTCCGCATCAGATAGCAGTGAGGTACTGCAGATCCCACGTCCCGGACGCCTGGTCGCGAGCCCCGACTGCAAGTATGGCATCAGAACCTCCTTCACAGCGTCTTCTGTTCCTGCACGCTGCCCCGACTGAGTTTACGAGAACGCGAAATAAAATCTATGGTTTATGGTAGAAATATATGGTAGATATATCTTGGTGCAATCTATGATTGATGTATTTTTATGGTGTGTATATGTGTATTTTTTTTTCACATCGGCCCATTGCTGCAGTACGCTGCGGCCATGCACTGGTCTTTTGAATTCGACACTTACTCGGTCTTCACCCGGCAAAGTCAGCTCCGATGTGACCGCTGTACTTGGTCACAGTCATCGCCTGCCACATATCTATGTCTGCCTCGGGTGGCTTTTCAGTGTCCTTCACGGCCAGCGAATCAAGCCGGTCGCGGAAAGCTTCCGCAAACGCCCCACAAAGGGCCGGCGGGTACTCCTTCAGGAGTGCTGTACGGAAAAAACCCTCCTCAGTCAGTGAGTCCAATGGCTTGTCCTCTAGGAAGTTCAGAGCGGGTGAGCCACTTTCGGAGGTATAAAGGCAGCTTGGGGAGGTTGATGGTCAGCAGCTCCGTCGGTTTAGCTGTCGGCGCTCCGAAAAGACCTTGGCTGAGTCGTACTCGTTGTACCCCTGGGGCTTGCAGTAACGCGAGCATGACCGGCAATTTCCAGATGGACGCCGCCTGCTGGGCATCCGGTTCTGCCGGATGTTCAACGATCCCTGAGCCACCAGTGCAAACAACATAGCCTGCCATCAATAGCGTAAAGGTCAGCAGCTCATTTCCGGTGATCACCTGTACGACTTCTTTCAAAGCCAGGCTTGGCAATCCCCAAAGGCTCGAAGCATCTCTGACAACTCTCGGTCCACGCCCAGAAGCAATCTCACGTCCTCGGGCCTTGGACCAGGTCTCGCATGGGGGGCCGGCGAGAAAAGCCACAATGTAGCCAGCCTTCGCCGCCTGGAGCCAGTAGTTGCGCGTTCCTGGCGCCATTGCGTCGCCCCATACAGCGTCAACCACCAGATCCATGCTCACAACGTGGAGCACATACTCCACAGGCGCCTCCATCTTGTCCAGGAAGTATTGTACATCACCGACACGACGACGGCCGGAGAACATGTGCAAAAGAATGCGATGGCGTCCAAAGGGCCTTGGGCTGTCAGCGAACCTCGTCCACTCCGTCACAGCGACGTCTCGACATTCTTGCTCCAGCTCATCTAAGGCAGTGTTGTCACACGCTTTTTGGGTCCGAAGACCCCAAATCTCTGGTGCTAACATCTCTGCCAGTCGATCACGCACTTCGTGGACCGTGATGCTCCACCTCTCAACGTCTGCATCTTCAAGCGTCTCCATGAAGAAGCGCAGAGTGCTTGTCCACATACTCCAGGAGATAGGTCGCTGCTGTGCCTCATCCTTGATGGCTTGCAAAGCACTGGCGAAGTCCTCCGCATCGATGAAGGTCTCCATGAGAAACATATGCAGCTCACTGTCAACGGCAAGCTCTTCCCGTAGACGTGGCTGTTGTTGACGCGGACCTTCCGTCTGTAGGGGAGGCAGGAGACGATCATGCTGTTCGCTCAGCTCTCTATCTTGTTGCGAGCCAGCTCCCGGGGTGGGGCTACATGCGTAATTGCGACTCAGCAGCAATTGCCTGCAAGTCTTTGCATAATAGAGGTGGGCGGTCAGCTTCTTCATCGTGTGATACTCCTTGAGACATGCTGGGCACACAGTGGAATCGCTCAGGAAGCGGCGTTTGGCCAACTGCTGGTGGACACGGAACATGTGAGCCGCTTCTCCTGCACGATTGCGACATTGTTTCCGACAGCTCAAGCATCCATACACCTCAGTCTCTCGTCCATCCTGTGCACTGCTGTGTGGATCGTAGTCATATAGATCTCGAAAGATGCCCGTCATTTCCAAATGAAAACGGCGGACCAACCATAGCTTCCGACGTTGCTGGACTGCATGTTCGCAAGCTCGACGTACTATGCGTCTCCAATAAGAGCGATGGTGCACAATCAAGTCTTGCCAAGTGCCCCAGTCTACTCTCGGGTCCGGCAGGGAGGAACTGTGCCAAACTTGGCTCCATACCCAAACCATGTCATCCTCAACCAAGGCTGTCCATGCAGCATCTTGTGCAAGGAGGCCCCATTCACGTCGATGTCCACAGTGAAATAGCGTGGCCACGTACCGAAGTCTGGCACGTCGCACAAGTTCAATCGGGCTTGGCATGCTGACTTCTGCTAAGATTGCATCGTCCGTAAGGTGTTGGTCAGCAGGAAGGGGCAACAGTCTGCGATACATCTTGATGACAGCCGCATTGAAGTGGTCAACTGTGGCATTATCAGATGCAACCCATGTCTCAGCTCCATAAAGCAGCTTGCTCAGGACTAGCGACTCAAATAGTTGGGTCCGTTTCTGCAGCGGCAGTCTCCAATTGCGGAAGAGCAACTTGCTGTGATGATTGATTGCAGCAAACGCAATTCCAACTCTCTTCTTGATCTCAGCCTTCTGGTCCGTCGAATGGTGCAGGATGCCCCCTAAGTGGCAATAGCTGGCGGTGATCGGTACCTCATAGACGCCGTACTCTGAGATGACTGGGAGACTCCCTGTAGCTTGCGGCCCATAGTAAAGCTTCTTATAATGGCGTGAGTTCGCCCCTCTGAAAGAGAAGAGGACCTCTGTCTTGTTTTTGTTGAGATTGGGCGTCATACAGTGTTCAAGGCAGAGCTCCAGCAGCTTGCTCATGACCAGGCCCATGTTGGTGACAGTGCCTGCAGCGGTTGAGCTCTCCACGCAGACTGCTAAGTCGTCCATCCATGTCGGCCCCATGAAATCCTCGGTCCCACTAGGTTCCCGATTGGAGTCCGCAAAGAGCTGAATATGCGGCCATCGTGGGAATGCACTGATCAGTTCATGGTCTTTCATGAATGACTGAAGTTTGCGTAGAACCACTGCCCAAACGTAGCTGAACACAATGTCCGCAAATGGGTCCCCTGGCCTAGTACCATGGGCTGTTTGCACGACGTCCTTCTGTCTGTGCATCCAGAAGTGCGTCTGAAGGTGCAGCTAATTATGTTGTTAAGTTGGTCTTTATTTGCAAACTGCAGGAACTGTAGGATATATGGCAGATATAATATCGAAACTAGTTGGATGGGGTAGAAGTTTTTTCAACTTCGAATTGGGAGCACCACAATGTAGATATATAGACTCCTAAGAGGTATTCCAGCTAATCATATCCATCATTGATATCCTTCAATATTGGCTGTACCATGGATACCTATATCCTCTTACATCCATGTTACATATACCTATAATGTATCTATATCCATCATACCAGGTTGTAGGTTATACTACTGATGATAAATGAGGTTATACACATTTATAGCGATTTCTGCCAACAAGGATCGGGGTTACAACTATACCAACTAGGTTTACGTAGAATTACAACAGCATCAACTGCCTGAAAGGGAACTGGTGTTCTTACACGGGTCAAAGTCCATGCCCAATGGCCGCGTCCGCATCCCCACATGAAAGAGCTATTGCCACCATCATACAGAGACTGTCAAGGCATCATGTCCCTGTTGGAGCGTTTGTTTTGGTTCTGTTATCAAAACATACTTCTAAACATGTTAGCAGCAGCTGAAACAAATTTGTCCCCCTTGAGTTGGCAAGGCCAAACAAATACTAGCCGGACTCCATCTTGTTGGCTACCCATGGATTCAAAAGAAAAAAGTAAATATTCAAAATCCATCAAAATCCTTACTTTCAAAAATGCTTGCTCCCTTTGACCAAACACATCAAACATTATCATTTCAGACAACCAGACCACGCCATTTCAAAGGCCTCGAAAGGTGTAGACGAAAAAATGTTCGATGCCATGAACCGTGTAGAACTCCAACCACTCGACCAAGAGTTTCAATGCTGCGCTGAAGGTGGCCTCGTTGAGAAAGTAAACCTGAGCCGGAACGGTTCATCCCATGTGCAACGGATCTTTTGTCGGGCCGAGATTCATGGGGGTTGTCCTAAAATGGCGGGATATCCATAAAAACCATGGATTTGTTTGCTAAAATAGTGTTTTATTTATGACTTGGATATGATTTGGGGTACCCTCATGACTTAGGAAAACGCTGTAAGTTGCATAAGCGTCACGTCCCGAACACAGGCCACTGTCCGGTACTTCTTCACCAGTCCAGTTTTTCTTCTTGCCAAAACCCGCGCGAGGTTATTCCCCTGAGCATCCTGCACAGTGTGCTGTGAATTATGGAAAATAATAGATCCCAAAAGGATGGGTTTCAGCTGGGGGTCGTGAAGTCTGAAATAGAAGTTGGTGTCATTCATCGGAGATGCGTTTTGTGTAGTTCACCTGGCAGCTTAGTGAGATGTGAATCTAGATTAAAAATTATAATTCACTACTGTTACAGCCATTTACTAGTTATAAGATGTTGTAAGATGTTATAAGATGTTATAAGATGTTATAAGATGTTATAAGCTGTTATAAGCTGTTATAAGATGTTATAAGTACTAAGTCACCCCATGTCAAAAATGTAGAATCCCATTTATATCCAATTATAACTAATAACCATGGCCATTTCACTATATCTTTCTTGGCCATCTATTGATGATTTCCCACCATTTTTCCAAGCCATATGGTCCGTCGCCTGAGGACGGGCTGTCCCGAAGCGGGCGCCGATGACCGTACAAAATAGGTGGTATAGATACCACCTGTTGTTATAGTACAATAATCTATATCTATGTGGTGTAATTCCCAGGGTTGCCTACTTATGAGTATTGTATAGTAAAATGATCTATATCTATAGGTGGTATAGATAGGTGGTATAGATAGGTGGTATAGATAGGTGGTATAGATAGGTGGTATAGATAGAACAATAGTAATAACCATAGACAATAAATCATAAATAGGTGGTATAGATAGGTCTTATTTAAAGTTAGTGACATATGATAATGTACCCATATATACAGGATGGTGCCCCCTATGTTTGTTGGTTTATAGATAAACTCCATGAAGACTAGTTCGTGATACCATAAACCATAGAATTCAGCCAGTTATATCTCAACTTAAGTATCTTGGGGGCCTCGTCCTGTATAGACACCCACCATCAATTCACGTTAGCATGGCTATAGAACCACCAACAAGTGATGAAGGTATTTGATTGCGGCATGTTGTAAATCGGAAGGAAAAAATCATGGCACAAAACAAACACAATGTAAATAGGTACAAACGGGAACACATGGGTTTCTACTCTATCATCCCACTTGGATGTGCATTGTACCGCCAAATAACTGGGGATATCCCATCCTGGGGTAAAATTTCGTTGTATAGATATCTGGTTGGTGGTTTCAACTCCTCTGAAAAATATTAGTCAGTTGGGATGATTATTCCCAACCGAATGGGAAAAAATGTTCCAAACCACCAACCAGATACATCGTCCACTTATGAGTAGACTTGCACTCAGAAATCATCGTCCCGCTCTGATTTGCCCACAGTATCCCCCAGTTGTCGATGTGTCATCTGTACTCTCCAACATGCCGAAGGCGGGCCCGCCACATGGCTAAGTTGATATATATATATATATATATAACTAGAATTAACTAGATAAACTGTGGTGTGGGAAAAAATATCGTATTCATGTGGTTTATAAACTCAACCAACTTAAATAATCTTAAATAACTATTGTTTGGGGGCACCTTGTACAGAGCTGCAGTCCTCTAAAAACACTTCGAAATTTTCATGTTCAGCTTCTTCTTTGGGCCAATCACATAGAAGACTCCGATGGTGCACGCGGACTTGCGTCAAATGAGACCGATTGGGTCCAGAACAAAACCTTGGGGCCGAATGTGACGACAGCCACGAGTCATCAAAAAGGAGTTGTTCAGAAACGCTTACAGAAAACATGGCATCAACATCCAAAAACATCATGATTAAACAATGCGTTGGTTTTACGGAAAACTTACAGGAAAACATCACGCACTGCTTCTCCCAGGATCACACAAAAAGGATGCAACTTGGATAGCCCTCAAATCCATTGGTGAACCGTAATTTGTCCTATGACACTGCTTGGTGATTTTATGGATGTCTCCATTTTCAGCAAAATCCATCTTAATGGACCAGGCAGTAGTTGCAATGCCATGTGTTTTTTTTACAAAACCAGCGTTATTGACCTGCACCAACTATAAAAATAATGTCGTTTATGGAATTATCATAAACCCTGAATGGTGTTATTTCAAACATCGTTGGCATTTCGGGCCCCAAGAAGGGCCATTTGATCCAGAGCAGCATGGCATGACTCTCCGCGATCTCTTTCTGAGACTTCTTGGTCAGAAGCAAGGCGATGAAATGGCCATCTTCGCCAAAGCCTAAGATGACCAAATTTCAGCGGGACTCCCCGTAGCCCATGGATGGGAAATCCGCGTAGCCCATGGCAGTTATGGTCATTTCTTACTTGTAACTGGTTATTTCAATGGGATTATACATTCTATAAATGCGGATATGAGTAGTTTTAACTGGTATTTCGGGCATAACTGTGAGTATTCAATGAAGATGCGAATGGACCAAATCACCTATATAGAAATGGAAATTGTTGTATTTTTCAATGCCGAAAAATCTGCAAATCCCGCAAGTCTTATCATGACAAAATCGGGCCTGCAAATAGCCGCTGGTAAACTAACATAGCTATGGAAAATTACCAGAGGGTACATTGATTCAATATGTCACGTGTTTTTTTCCCTTTTTAATGTGGTGGGAATCGGGTTTTTTCTTGTCATACTTCACTTCACTTCACATGTGGGAAACCTGCCAAAAACCTGCCATAAATCTACCTGGGGATGATCCCAAACCACCTCATGGAAACGATCGTCGAGTCCCCGAGCAAGGGGATCGCGACAGAAGTTGCATTCATAGCTGCATTCATTGCTAATTAAATATGATATATGATACATATATAAATAATATTAAATGCATACACATATAGTCATATATTCATTGTCATAGTTTGTATATGTATGTATGTGTATATATATATATATATGTCATAAGTTTCCTGATTCGATAGCTGTATTCATTGTTATAATTTCATGCCCATAAAAATGGCTGCCAAAATCCTCGATCAATCACAACTTTATCGGTGGGGCCCAGAGTTGCAAGTTGATGAAACGCCCCATTACCCAGTCTGATGTGATCAATACTAATTGGTGGTTTCACCCCCCTGAAAAATATGAAAGCCTGATTGGATCATCATCCCAACTATTGGGGAAAATGAAAAATTCATGTTCCAAACCACCAACCAGATCTACCATCACGACCATAACCCGAAAAAAAACTAATCAAACAAGTTCCTCTGCAACCTTACCTATTGTTGGAGGTCCGACCGCGGTGAGTTTTTTTGCCATCAGCGCAGCAGTCGCTACAACAAATACACATGAAAACCGTGGAAAAAGTTCATGTTAATCCAGGGAACATGAAGTTCATGTTCCTTTTATTAAAAAGGCCCCAGCTAGTGGCCACAGATCGCAAATTCAAGGCATATATATATATATATACATTGGACTGTCCCCCCTTACACTAACAGTCACCAATCCAGACCACAAATAAAACACAAGCACGATGGACCCAAAATGCCATTGAGAAGTTGGGTTGGCACATTTTGTCAGTCTACCAACCCACAAAGAAGTTGGGTTTTTCACAGCGTGAACCCAATAGTTCATAAACAAGTTGGGTTTGTATATACTTTGACCGGAAAAGGCCAATGAGAGCTTAGGTCTGTATATTGAAAAATCCTGGGCAATCCAGTACAGAGACTCAGATTATGCACCATCCTATCGAACCAAAGGAGGCCCACCAAATAAATGGGTTTATGCTTTGAAAGCTGCAGCATCGGATGTGTCCTTTTCACCTCCCCGGGCAGCGAAAGTGTGTATTGGAGCCCTTTCCTAATGCAACGTTCCCTCATGGAAATTGCAACTCAACAGGGCTGTGTTCAAGGTAACCTGGGGCTTCACACTAACAGGTGCCAGAGATGGCCACACTAACGGGTGCCAGAGCTGGCCACACTAAGCCAGAACTGGCCACACTAACGGGTGCCAGAGCTGGCCAGTATGGCACAGCCGTCAAGCAGGATCCAGGCTCAGGCTGGGCTGGCAGGCCCTAGTCGACTGGACAACCTGGGGATTTGGGGGGGGCTGCGGTTGTAAACTTTTGGGCTGGGAAGTTGTGCTTTTTAAGCCTAAACGTTGTTTTTTTTGGTGCTTTTTCTTATGGTTAGTTGTGCTGTTTGTTGTGCTAATTTTTGTGATCAAATCATCAGGGAAGTTGTCCACTTTTTGTGCTTTTTTTGTTGATGAAGTTGTGGTCGGTGCCAAATATAAAATCAATTAGATGTTTTTATTTTTTCCTTGGCTTGTTGTTGTGCAAAAATGATCAGGGAAGTTGTGCTCTTTAAGCCTAAACGTTGTGGGTTTTGTTGTGCTTTATCTTGTGGTTAGTTGTGCTGTTTGTTGTGCTAATTTTTGTGATCAAATCATCAGGGAAATTGTGCACTTTTTGTGCCCTTTTTGCATGGGAAGTTGTGCGTTTGATACTTTCTACCTTTTCCAAAAGCACGGCCGAGAGCACAAAAAAAAACACAACATCAAGCAAGGGTTTTCCCTTAGCAAAATTTGTCCCTTAGCAAAAATTGTCCCTTAGCAAAACTTGTCACTGACAAAATTGTCCCTTAGCAAGATTTTCCCCTAGCAAAATTTGTCCCTTAGCAAAACTTGTCTCTTAGCAAAATTTGTCCCTTAGCAAAACTTGTCACTGAGCAAAATTTGTCCCTTAGCAAAACTTGTCACTGAACAATTTGTCCCTTAGCAAAATTTTCCCTTTAGCAAAATTTGTCCCTTAGCAAAACTTGTCCCTTAGCAAAATTTGTCCCTTAGCAAAACTCGTCACTGAGCAAAATTTGTCCCTTGGCAAAATTTGTCCCTTAGCAAACTCGTCCCTGCACTGCTGCCTTTCCCTTTGCCCAAAAGGGATTTTATCCAACAAGTAGGATTTGATCTGGTTCCAAGTAGGCTGCCCCCAGCGTGATTTCATACTTCGGTTCAACATCAGAAAAATTTGGATTGAGAAGATTGGGCCTCTCAAATTGTTTGTGGTTTTGGTCCCTGGGTTGTTGTGCAATTTTGGCTGGGAAGTTACAATTAAAATCCATTATTCCACTGTTAGTGGGGGGGGTCACTCCAATATATACACACATGTATCTTTATATATATATATATATTATATATACATTATATATATATACATACATACATATACGTCTTAAAACATACAATGTACGCCCTACACTAACTCCAAGCAAATCCTGAGCGCTGCTTAGATAAACTATTCAAGAGGAAGTGGCAGGAATTTGAATAGGAGAAAAACAAATGAGAATGTAGTAAAACATATAGAAAACGCGTGAAGCTCTATCCTTATCTCAGACCAAGTTAGAAACAGGCTACTTCTTTCACATGAAGCTCCATGGAAAACATCTTCTGCTCATTTTGGACTATGACTTCAGTATTGGGGCGTGGGTGCTTGATGGTTCCCAACACAGAAGTGTCGGCAGTTTTCTAGTACTGACAAATCGGATCAGCTCCCATTGAACTTATTGAAGCCATCTAAAGTCATCGTCAGGTTCAAATGTCTTGCTGGGGCAGATGACAGCTGTAGGCAGTCCAACCCTCTTGTGAAGACGTTCCTGTCTTAGTTGCTGCTGATGGATGTCTGCAGCAGACCATGCAAGTCCATCTCCAGCACCCTACATACTGCACACATGTGATTCGCTTCTCGTGACGCTCTGCACTCTTCAAAGAGTTCATTGATGAATTCGACTGCTGCTGTCCCCAACCTGAAGGTTTCTGTCAACTTTGTGAAATAGGATCCCTCGCGCAGGAATTCCAAAACAGATCAAACTTGCTGTCATACTGCCTGTTCATCGCCTGCTGCCCTATAAAATTGTCAGATTGTGCTACATTAACACATTCACCAAGCATTCACGCACCAAAAATTCTAATCAGGTTCTCACAGTTATGGCCATTTATTAAGAATATATAATATAACTGGTTATAAATTGGATTATACATTTCATAAATGGGGTTGTAAGTACTTAAAACGGGCATTTCGGGCCATAACTGCAACTGATACACCCAAATATAAAAGCAACAACTGTATCGACCCTTTCTGAAACATAGATGGGCCGGCATGGTGTAACATTTACATGTGCTCTATGAACATAAACCAACCAGTGGTTTGGTTGGACACCGTCAATCTGTCGAAAAAAAACATGTTAATAATCCCCCTCTGGTAAACTAACGTAACTATGGAAAATCACCATGTTTAATGGGTAAATCCACGATAAATGGCAATTTTCAATAGCTTTTTGTATGTTTACCAGAGGGTAAAAGCCATGTTCACTGGTTGTAGATGCTGAAAAAGACCCATCTGTTTGATGCATAGCATACTGAAATCATCATCCCAATTTCTGAGATATCTTCATGGCATGAAAGTCCCAAGTTCTATACATGTTCCTACAAGGTGACGCCCTATCCTTGGCTATAATTTAGTTCGATATACCATAAACCGTGGTCAACCACTCTATATATATATATACATATACATAATACATATTATATATATATATATAAGTCACCTTAGCTAGCTAAATCCCAAATCCCATTAAATCACCATGAAAATCACCATGGTCGTGGGGACTCTTAGATAACTGCCCAAAAAATACTTTACTTCGTGTGATCCCCACCATGACATGTATACATTTTGTTACTGGCAAATCTTCTGGCGTTCTACCTGAAAATATCTTCTGGCATATCATCTGGCACATCTTCTGGCATTCTATCTGGCAAACATTCTGGCACTTTATCTGGCATATCTTCTGGCATTCTATCTGACATTTTATCTGGCATTCTATCTGACATACCTTCTGGCATTCTATCTGGCATATCTTCTAACATTCTATCCGGCATATCTTCTGACCCTCTATCTGGCATATCTTATGGCATTTTATCTGGCACATCTTCTGGCATTCTATCTGACATTCTATCTGGCATATCTTCTGGCATTCTATCTGACCGTTGAGGTCCAGCGGTGTGCACTGAGCCGGGAAGGTCCCAGGTTGAGGTCCAGCGGTGCGCACTGAGCTCGGAAGGTCCCAGGTTGAGGTCCAGCGGTGCGCACTGAGCTCGGAAGGTCCCAGGTTGAGGTCCAGCGGTGCGCACTGAGCTGGGAAGGTCCCAGGTTGAGGTCCAGCGGTGCGCGCTGAGCTGGGAAGGTCCGAGGTTGAGGTCCAGCGGTGCGCACTGAGCTGGGAAGGTCCCAGGTTGAGGTCCAGCAGTGCGCACTGAGCTGGGAAGGTCCCAGGTTGAGGTCCAGCAGTGCGCACTGAGCTTGGAAGTTGACGAAGAGCTTGGCGAAGAGTTGGCAAGGCGGAAGTGGAGGTGGAAGTTGATGCAGACATGGTCGAGGAGAAACTGGAGGAGGAGGCGGAGGAGGAGGAGGAGGAGGACAACAGCTCTGATAAAATCTAACAACCCTCACCTGGCAGGTGGGGAAAACCTGATTAGTAAATATTACCATTGATAGCAAACTTGACCCGCAGTTATGGCTTACCATTTATAAATTATAAATGATTATACATGGGAGGAAATACCAGTCAGTACTGAACTCACCCAATTTATGGATATTTATGGAATGTATAATCCCATAGAAATAGTCAGTTATTTCACCATCATTAATCACATGTTCAGCCATTATTAACCAGTATTAATCAGTATGAATCACTATAGAAATTTCACCACTTACAACGAAATCACCATTAATCACCATTAAATCACTATTAAAGTCCATTAACACACCATTTTTGCTGGATTAAATCACTATAGAAATCACCAAAACTGTATGGGATTCTACACAAACCATACATGGGATATCGCGGTCACCCAAGGCGCTGGGCACCACGCTGAAGACATCGATGCTCTGACCATCCGCGAAGCGCAGTGAGTGCGGCGCCGGCAGCACGGCCAGGTCGCGGGGCGAGGTCCACTCCGAGACAAACGTGGCGTCCTTGGAAGAACAATTTATGGGATGTAAGTGGTGATTTCTATAGTCATTTAATCCAGCAAAAATGGTGAGTCAATGGACTTTAATAGTGATTTAATGGTGCTTAATGGTGATTTCGTTATAAGTGGTGAAATTTCTACAGTGATTCATACTGATTAATGCTGATTAATAATGGTTAATAATGGCTAGACATGTGATTAATGATGGTGAAACAACTGGGTATTTCTATGGGATTATACATTCATATACATTCCATAAATGGGGTTATAGGTGACTTATAACTTATAACCGGTAAAGGGCCATGACTGCAAGAATTTACGGGATGTAAATGGTGATTTAATGGGATTCATATGAGATTTAAGGGAGTTTTCGTGTGATTTCATGGTGATATCAATGATTTAGTTGGACTTAGAATTAGATGAAGATAGGTAGATAGGTAGATAGATTAATCTTATCATGTCTTATCACCATTTCTCCCTGAATCCTCCCATCTCTCCAGCTTGCGCGTCCGAATCCACGTTGGAGAAGAAGTTGGCAGCGGCACCAAGGGGAAGCCACTCGGTCAGAGGAACTGAACCTCGAGGGTCCGATCAGTCTCCCAACCTCCCCGGGACGTACAAGAGGAAACATGGGACAAATGAAAAGGTATCTATATTAAAGGATTGTACGAGGATATTTTCATGAGGTACATAGTATCTATAATCTGTATAAATATATATATATAGATAAATTTGAAGGTTTCCTAAAATGGGAGTACCCCAAAACCATAGCCACCATAGGTTTCGATACTCAAATGGTCGAATTACTTGGATGATTTGGGGGTACCCCCATGACTTCGGAAACCCCCATAGGTCCTTAATCAAGTGCCCATTTCTAATGGATAACTATAGATTGATAACATTCCCATAATACAATCATCTTCCCTTTGGATTCCCTATCCCCTCTGGTTTAAAAGTTTGCAACTGGAACATCACCATGAAAATCAATGGCAAATCATCCAACTCAATGGGCCATGGCTGATAAATAGCTATGTGAAAAATGACAAAAAGTACTTGGTGGCCCATCCCACTTAGTAAGTGGGTTATAACCCCAGTTATAAATGAGATAAGTAGGGTTAATCCACTTATAACTGGGGTTATAACCCACTTACTAAGTGGGATGGCGTCAATTCATCGACTGGATTTCTTGGGAAATTTTAAGCGACAAATCATCGACATTTTCGCGCGTGAAATTCCAGGGAACTCGTCACATTTCTGGTGACTTGCAGTGCCGACTGCTCGTCACAGCTGGGCTGGTCCGATGCGTCGGTTTCATCAAAAAAGCAGAGGCAAAGCCAAAAGGCGTAGTTTGCCCAAAGCATGGGAAAGCGGTACAGTTGGCCAGACACTTGGGTGACTGTGACTTGGAATTGGGTTGGTTGGTTTGAAGCCCAGAACTGGGGATTCCTGTCCGGTGTCAAATCTATCGGTGCAAGTGGCTATGCATGACTATTGAAATATTTGCTGAAAGAAGGATGATGGGTTGAGAACTCTCAAACCTAAAATTGGTGTACTTTCTCAAAGAAAAGGATGCTTCATAGTTGCCAAGCATTTTCTTTCCTGGAGAGAATGTACTCAATGGATGATTCCTAATCCTTTGATCCATGCCCTTGGGGTATCATGGAGGCAGCCGGGTCACCCAAGCACAACGCTACCAGCTACTGGCGCTGGGAGCCGCTGGGCAAACAGAAACGGGGGCCATCAGGATGCGCATCCCCGTTGACCCGTGGCCAACAAGAATGTGTAAGGGTGGAAAGTAGCTATATATAGAGAAAACAGCCACGTATATATATATATATATTGAATATACTGTATGTATACATATACAGTATTTACAGATATATGCATATATCATACATATATATATATAGATACATACATACATATGCTTAAAATTGTTAAAGTACATATTATGTGGAAGGCATCAACAACTTATTGGGATGTACAGCAAAGTAAAACCAATTATGGAGCGGACAATCAAGAGAAGTTAATGTATTCGACAGAACTTGATGCGTCACAAGAAACATGCCTTGCATTATGATGAAGGAAATATGCTGGATAATATTTGTGTTTCACTCACAAGATAGGAGTTTACTGCGATATTTTTCTCAAACATACACACTCCCCAAACAAAAGGTACACTTAATGGCCCTTTACCAGTTACAAGTCACCAAGTCACCCCATTTATGGTTTATGTACATTCCCATAAAGAACACATAAGGGTATAACCATCATCAATCACATGTTTAGCCACTATAAAAATTACTTTACTTCGTGTGATCCCCACCATGACATTTATACATTTTCTTACTGGCAAATCTTCTGGCATTCTATCTGACATATCTTCTGACATTCTATTTGACATTCTATCTGGCATATCTTCTGGCATATGATCTGGCATATCTTCTGGCATTCTATCTGGCAAATCTTCTGGCATTCTATCTGGCATATCTTCTGGCATCTATCTGACATATCTTCTGGCATTCTATCTGGCATGGCATTCTATCTGACATATCTTCTGGCATATATTCTGACATATCTTCTGGCATATCTTCTGGCATATCTTCTGGCATATCTATCTGGCATATCTTCTGGCATATTTTCTGGCATTCTATCTGGCAAATCTTCTGGCATTCTATCTGGCATTCTATCTGCATATCTTCTGGCATATTATCTGGCATTCTATCTGGCATATCTTCTGGCATCTGACATATCTTCTGGCATTCTATCTGGCATTCTATTTGGCATTCTATCTGGCATATCTTCTGGCATATCTTCTGACATTCTTTCTGACATTCTTTCTAACTTTCTTCTGCACATTCTTTGTCCCATATCTTCCTACATGAGGTCCGGCAGGGAACACTTGGCGTGGATACTCGCGGTTGAGGTCCGGCAGGGAACACTGGGCGTGGATGGTCGTGGTTGAGGTCCGGCAGGGAACACTGGGCGAGGATGGTCGTGGTTGAGGTCCGGCAGGGAACATTGGGCGTGGATGGTCGTGGTTGAGGTCCGGCAGGGAACACTGGGCGTGGATGGTCGTGGTTGAGGTCCGGCAGAGAACACTGTGGATCGCGGGGCGCAGTTGAGCAAGGACGACGAGGACGACGAGGACGACGAGGAGGACGAGGAGGAGGAGGAGAGGAGGACGAGGCAGGAGGAGGCGGAGGAGGAGGAGGAGGAGGAGAAGGAGGAGAAGGAGGAGGAGGAGGAGGCAACTGACATAAAATCTAACAACCCTCACCTGGCAGGTGGGGAACTATGATTTTAATCACTATTGATCACTATTCTTAACCAATAAATGGTATCATTAACCATAACTCTCTGGTAAACATACAAAGTTCGCTCTTGAACCTGGCCCAGTCGAAAGTTCGTTGATTTACCCATCCAAAAATGGTGGGTTTTCCCTCGTTTTTTCTATGCTTAACATCAATTGGCACCCCTGGGTTACTGATCAAAGGGCTACTCTTGGAGCAATAAGTGGTGATTCAAAAACATTCTGGCCAATTCAAAAACATGCTGTTTCATTCAAACAAATTCTGTTTCATACCAAAACATTCTGACCACAAGCAAGCAAAGTTGGACCATTGGAAGCAGCTCTTTTTCACTTCAGCTTCATTTCAAGCTCTTTGTTGTTTGACCTTGGGCTCTAGATTTTCTACAGCCTCTTCAAGCTCTTGGAGGATGTCATCTTTGCTTCATACCAAAACATTCTGACCACAAGCAAGCAAAGTTGGAAGCAGCTTTAACTTCATTTCAAGCTCTTTGTTGTTTGACCTTGGCTCTAGATTTTCTACAGCCTCTCCAAGCTCTTTGATGACTCCAGGTTTCTGAGAGAGGATGTCATCTTTGATGACTCCAGGTTATTCTGAGCTGCTTGTTTCATTCAAACAAATTCTGTTTTATACCAAAACATTCTGACCACAAACAGGCAAAGTTGGAAGCAGCTCTTTTTCACTTCATTTCAAGCTCTTTGTTGTTTGACCTTGGGCTCTAGATTTTCTACAGCCTCTCCAAGCTCTTGGAGGATGTCATCTTTGATGACTCCAGGCCTCGGAGAAGATGGTGGTATCCCCAAGCGAGCACTGGATGGTTTCGTTCATGGAAATCCTAGCTATAAATAGAAGATGACTTCGGGGTAGTCCTATTCTAGGACACCTCCATTTATGTTGGTGTCTAAATGTCAAAACCCTTCTGAACATTCTATATATCCCCATGATAAATCATCATTATTCCGTATGATATTCACTAAGCATTTGGATGCTTCCAGTTATCTTCACCAACTTAGCATTCTCGTAGAACGGGGGCTCCACCATGTAAACACGGACTGTCATAGACCCAACGAAATGGGCTCCAACTATATTTGAAATGGTCAAGAACTACGTTAACTGCAGTTATGGCCCCTTACCAGTAAAAAGTCACTTATATAATCCCATTTATAGAATGTATAACCAAATACTGTATATTTGGTATTTCGGGCCATAACTGTATGATTAGTAGATGTATCTAGATGTAGATCTATAGCTAAGGAGATTTCTAAACAAACTTACAACTTCAATGGGAATTTCAGGATCCTAAAATGGAGGTACGTTAGGACCATATAAGGCCATTATTTCGTGGGGATATTCCCCTAGATAGGCCCATAGGCCCTGAAAAATAAGCCTTATATACTTACTGGTGCTTAGTAGGGAATGGATGGGAATGGGGGAATGGGGGAATGGGATGATTATTACTAGTGATTATGGATCATTCCCTCATTCCCTGCTAAACACCAGTAAGTAGGTACCTCCAATAAATCGGTTCCTGTTGCATGGCCATTGACAACTTACAACGGGCACCTCGTAGCTAGGTAACAGCGTTGCTTGCGGCCCAAGTTAAAAGGGGGGCGTCTATTTGAGGGGTAAATAACAGTTATGGCCATGGATATTAGTTATAACTGATTATTTCTATGGGATTATACATTCCATAAATGGGATTATTTCAGTGACTACAGTAACTTGTATTTCGGGCCATCGCTGCAGGGGATTTAGATCGGTAACTTTGGTTTCTCATCTCAAAGAATGTTTTAGAAGCATTTTTTAGAGGTCGTAAGTTTGGATGTACCCTCCGGTAAACTAACATAACTATGGAAAACCACCATTTTTTATGGGTAAATCAACTATTTGTATGGCCACTTTCAATAGCTTTTTGTATGTTTACCAGAGGGTATGTTTCGGAAAATGAGCTCAACTCACGAACTTCTCACCCGAAAACTCATCATTTACCCATGGTTGGAGCAACCCCGTGAGTTGGCTTGCAACTGGGGGGATATCCACTATGGAACAAACAATAGAAGAAAAAAAAAGGCCAACTGCTGAACTTATCTCTATATATATATATATGCGTCATACATCATAAAAAATATGTTTACATACATATAATACATATATTGTATAAGTATACATATATATATATATATACATATATATGCATAATGTATACACATATTAATAATCTATAATGTATACACATATTAATAATCCCGTGTGTGTATACATACAAGGTGGAGGTGGGCCCACGCATCCACCCAACCTTGAGCAACGACGACTTCACCACGGAATCCGAGTTCCCTCGCGGAAAAAAAAGTGTGGAAGTGCTGGATTTCACCAACCCACAGGTATTGCCATTTATTAGCTGTATATAACTGCTAAGTTACGTTATTATTATATGGGATAATGCAGATATGGGATAAATTACTCTATATATAACTTTTTTTTGGATTATACAGTCTATAAATGGGGTTATTCAGTGACTTATAACTTGTATTTCGGGCCATAACTGCAGGGGATTTAGATCGGTAACTTTGGATTCTCATCAAGTTTGGATGTCCGTTTCGGAAAATGATTAAACAACAAACAATATGTGGTGGAGATGAATGTTCAGTTCAACGAGCCAAACTAAATCAGCTTACAACGGGCCACACATTGTATCTGCATGAGCAGTAAAAACACAAACATATGGATAATCGCTCGTATTCTGGGATGTGTTTCTGTGTTTTTTTCTTTTATTGTGTTTCCCGTCCCATTCATGTGCTTAGTAAATGTTGAAAACTTGCCCACACTAAGGGGTGAGTCAAATTTGACCAAAAAAATGGATGGCTGAACAATGATTTTTTTTGTTTTTAAGATATTGTAGATTTTTCAATCGTTCAAGTATGATTATTCTTAAAATTGATACATCATTCATTGATTGGATGCATAAAGATACCGGGGGAGATGTTGAATATTTTTGCATTCATTATTATCAACTATTGATGATCGCCAATTATATAACCAAGATTCATACATATCATCATGCCATGATCTTTAAGATATTGGATC